ATAGGTTGACCAGAGTATGTGGAGCTGACTGAGACGTTGCTGCTATTTTTACGTGGTATTCCCTGGAGAAGGAGGAGGGCGCTATTAATTGGTTTTGTTGTGGAGGGTGGAGTGTTGGCATGGATTGTACTGGCAGGACCATGTGATGCTGACGCCATACGGCCAGGTGAAGAGGAGCGCTTGCATTTAGGATCTCTCCACCGGCTTTCCCGTAGTCTGCCCTCTATTTTCTCTCCTCTAGTTTCTATTTTTGCTTTTTAGCTAGTAAATGGATGAATATTTACTATGGATGGTAAACTGACTTGGATATACCAGACCTTGATCGCATTATAATCTTAAGAGAGGCTTTGGTTTCTTATCAAGATAGCATTCAGTTGAAATTCCTAGAGAATAGCTTTCAGCTGACTATAGATAGAGTAAGGCTGGAGGAAGACAGACTAGACTTTTGAGAATGCCATTTTTAGGGCTGTTTTGGTTGTTGAACTATATATAATTTAAGGGTTGCATTGAATGTGTATAAACTTTTGAGATTCTTGGCCCTATCTGTTTGGTTACCCTCTGCCATGTAATGTATATAAAATGTATTTGGGGCTGGGGAGATGCCTCAGAGGCTGAGAGCACTGGCTGCTCTTTCAGAGGATGTGGATTTGATTTCTGGTACCCACACGACAGCTCACAACTGTCTGTAGCTTCAGTTCCAGGTGATCTGGCACCCTCTTCTTGTCTTTGTGGGCACCAGACACACATGTTATGCACATGAAGGCAAAGCACCCATAAAAATAAATACATAGAACAATCAAAAATAGACTTGTTTTCTTATACCTCTAAGAGTAGTTTATCCTATCTAGAGTCATTCAGATCAGAGCCTAAAGCACTTCATGTCGGCTTCTGACAGCTTGTTCACCTGCTGATTTGAACAACTGTCTTCACTTGTCCCTACTTCCTACATGCCAGAATATTCTAGGACTGCTGTATAATGGAATATGCTGTGCATTTATGAACAAAGCTGCTTAATTAATTGGATGTGGTCAGACTAACTTGAGAGATGATCTATTCTGAGAATTCTGCATTAAAAGAGTCTTAGTGGGTTTCTAGAAATACATAAAGTTTCTAGTATTAGTTGTATGTGGTGAATTTTAAATTTTGAACATAAGTTGGCTTTGATAGACATAAAATAATTTGTTTCTATTTGCTCTGTATTATCAAGAGACATACATGATACTTTTTCTTTCTTGATTCTGAGACTTTGAAAGAATAATTTTTTTGTCTTTTAAAAATCTTTGTACAGTTTCATGTATATACATAAGGACTTTGAGGTTTTTTAAAATTCCTATTTCCTTTCTCATTTCTTCCTCTCTCCCACTAACCCCTTACTAAGGTCCCACCCCTACCATCAAGCTTTCCTTTTTGTGTAACTAACCCCAATGAGTTAGTTAGAATTGCTTGCAGGTGTGTGGGTGAGTAGTGGTGTATGAGTAGCCTATCAGGCTACCCCACTGAAGAAAAGGGCACCCCTCTTCTGGTAGCCACTCTTGTCAATAGGTCTTGAGGGATGGGGCCTCATGGATCTCTCCCCCATTTATGATAAAATGCTTAGGGGTCCAGTCTTGTACATACATGCACAGCTGTCATGAACACTTAAGTTCAGTGGCTGTGTGTCATGTCCAGAAGACGTTTTCATTGCACACTGCTGCCGTCCTCATGCACCCAGGTTTTTCCCGCTCCGTCTTTCGTGCTGTGTGTATTCCGAGCCTGATCCTCAAACACTGGATCCTTGGCATTACAGTGTTAGGTGTGTGACCTTGTGAATTATAAAACATCTTTATACCTTAATATCTTTAATATATGCGTGTTTATATGTACGTGTGTGTGTCATCTTTTTTTTTTTTTTAAATGAGGTGTGGTCTCTTGTAGCCCAGTTTGCCCTTGAACTCAGTGTAGCTGAGGATGATTTTGAACTTGATTTACAGAGCCTTTTAGCGTTTAGAGGAGACTAGGATGATTTATAACTAAAATCTTTTTGATTCAAAAGGCTAAACGATTCTGACAGGTTAAGAAAAGCACTGGGTGCTACCTCAGCTTCGATGCTGTGAATGGAAGCTTAGGTACTTGAAACCTGCGGAACTGTGGATGACCTTAAAGGTAACCAGCTTAGTGTTGTGTGTGTTTCATGGATAACCAGCAAAGACATTTTAAAGTTTATGTGTGTTTAGCAAAAAAAAAAAAAAAGGGGGGGGGTATATTAGGGATTATTTTAATGTTATGAGCCCTGTAGATTTTTTTCTGTTTTATCTTTAGGTAATGCTTGTCTAAATTTGTGAAGGTTTTTGACAGTGCAAAATTATATTATCCTTGGTCATTTTAGGAAATAATTAGAATTAAATTTTTAACTGGCATTAGATAAAATATTCAATAAAAATTTTTTTGGATAATGTTTCAATAAGGAATTTTTAATTTAAAATTGGCAGACAGTTGTAGGAAAGTAACACCAAAGCAAACGACCACTTGACTTACTTCTCTAGGGTTTTATGTTTCTCCCTGGTCTCAGGATACAGTTCTGCACTGTGCTTGCCTAGGGTAGAAGAAGTGCAGGGGCAGAGGGTGAGACCCTTGGCTTTGCAGAGTATGACCCAAGTGTACACACAAACACACAGTGAAATTGCAAAAGAATAAATAAAAACAAAACAAAAATTCTCTCCTTAGTTAAACAAAGCACTGCTTTGTAGACTTTTTCTTATGTGTATATAATGTCACATGGGATAATAGACGTGTAATTGTGAGTTACTGTTTTTAGACAAATATATTGGTATCGATTATTGTATATTGATACAAAGTTAAATTATATTGACTATTGTATGCATGCATGTTTCTACCTCTGTTTAGAGCATTTTTTATGTATTGACATATATTGTATTGATATATATTGTATATGTTTACCATATTGCAGTGTACATTTCTACCTCTGATTAAGATACTTATATATTGTTTGTATATTGATACATATTTACCATACTGCAATGTATATTTGTACATTGTTTATATTTGGAGGTCATTGTCCTCATTTGTTTCAGTCGTTTATTGTCTTAGTCTTTCAGTTAGATAGGTATTGAGAATTATATAGATCAATAGTCATCTAAGTTTGTCATTTATAATTAGACTAATCAGGTTTTTTAGATACATAGAGAGTATTTGTGAAGGCTCTCCTGTCTCCAGTTTCAGGCTCCTTTTTGTCCTGTGATAGGCATTTTACTGTTTTAAGAGTGTATGAATGTCATTCCTCAACCAGTTATTTAGTTCTGAAACAAACAAGCATACATATATGTATACAGAAATGGCAGCACCAAGATGAAATCAGACTGCGCTGGAGAAGGTGGGCTGGCTAGTGCCTGCACCATGTCTGCTCTCACCTTTCTGGAGAGTTTATCAGAGCTCTTGGGGAGGTTGGCGAACAGTTTGGGGGACCTTGGGAAACAGAATGTCTCTTGTTGCTAGGCACCGGGCAGTATTGCAGGGAGGTGTAGGTGTTGTATGCTGAGCTCGATGACAATCAGAGGGACCAGGCTGCTTTTTGCTTTATTTCCAATTACTGTCCTACTTTGAGTTCTTAGGCGGAAGGGCAGGTGACCACTTCTGTGGGTGAAATATTACTCCCACCTGATCCGAGAAAGAGAATGGGGAGGCAGAACAAAAAATTAACAGCCATTCTGGCCCTGGTTAAAGGTGTCAGTGGTCAGGATGCAGAGAAAGGATGATAAAGATAACGGCAAATGGGTGGTGGTCACAGAAAGACGGACGCAGAGCATAGGAGAGGACAGGAGTAAATGAAAATACTGTTTCCAAGTAAGTTGTGGAGAAGCTTTCTGCTCCTGTGTTCTCTAACCAGTGGAGCTGCTGAGCCACCCCATTTCTTTTTTTCTCTGTCTGGTGGACTGTGTGCTCCCTGTCTGTGTGTTCTCCCTCACGAGTGTACACGTGTGGTATATAACATGAGCTCCGTGTCAGCACCTTGAGCTGAGCTTATTGCATAGGAAGCAGTCAGTGCCTGGAGGGCACAGACCCTTTCGTTCACAGTCCGTAATGTGGGTGTCTGTGCTATGGTTGTTGTCGGTAATTTTGTGTAGTGTAACATCTTGCCATGCTTTCTATCCCTTTTTCCTCTTGGTTCAGTGTCTAATTGTTTTGTTTTATAAGACTGTGCTTCTTGATGACAGAAGACAAATGCCATCTTTGTATATATCACAGTACACAGCAAATTGATGGAAACACTTTTTGAATTGAATATCTTTATTTATTCATTATGACTTACATTGCTGAAATCCAGTTTGCCCTTAACAAAGGAATACGTTCACTGGATAAAACAGAGTGATTCTCTATGACAGCTTCTCTTTCTAGGGATGGAGACTGGGAATGCTTTGTGAAACGTGTGGCTAGCTTTGGTGGTGCATGTTGGGATTTTCTCAAGTCTATGTTCATAACTTTCTGTGTAGCATTTGGATCAAACAAAAATGCCATAATTTTCAATGAGATAGATTACATACATTAAAATTTTGATTAAAAATGTTTCTTTGTGTTATAAGTCTTGAGATTGAATTTTAAAGTATTATAAATAATAATGACTTTGTAAACTAGTTAGTCATGCTATTCAAACTCTTCTGTATGCTTTTGCAACTATAAATATCCAGTTATATAATTTATTTCTCATGTAAGGTTTTCATTCAGTAGTATTATCACATTTTTTTCAATATTTGTTGATGATCTCTGTTAATCTCTGTGTATTGTTTCTTGGAAATAAATAAACATCCAAGGATATATTTCCAAAAGTAAATATTTTAATACTTTCTGAAATGATACCATACATGTATAAAAGGACAAACTTAAAATCATTAGTGTTTAAAAGAAGAAATTAAAAACTACTGAAATTGTTTTTGCTAATTCATATGAAGAATTCTTTCTTTGGTTTTTATTTACCTTTTCCTCCTCTTGTCTCTGCTTTGTTTCAGGCCAGTCTATCCATATGGGGATGGGGAAGCCTTGGCATTGTCCTTTTTCTAGTAACCTTTGGACCCTTTGTAATATTTTATTTGGCATTTTACATCCTCTGCTTTGTGGGAGGGTAAGTATGCACAACGATAATTTTATAACTTAGTGTTATTTGTTAAAATTGAAATAAAATGACTTAGAACTCATAGTATAATTTATTTGTGAATGCTGTTTTCTCAAATTTTGTTTACTAAAGCTTAAAAAAAAACAAGTAAAGTTAAGATACCCATTTGTATGTGGTGGATATCTTTACAAATGCAATTTCAGTGATTAAAGATGAAAATGTTTTTCATAATATGAAAAATTTTAATGTAATTCCTGGCTAAGGTTAGAATTTTATTATCTGCTGTGATGCTTTGATCAGCTGAGATAACACATCTAGTTTTACTTTTTAGGAGGTCCTGTTTCATTAACCGGATGGCAGATACTAATTGTGCCTTCTGATGAATGTTTCTACTTTTATCCAGACAGTGCAGATAAATACTTGCCTTTACAGTTTTCTCTTTATGGTTACTTGGTTTGCAGTGTTTATGATTTTGTTTAAATTGACAAGCATTTATAAAGAAGGTTCCAGCCAAGCGTTATTAATGCTTTGTAACAGAACAGTTGGTATTAGACTCCACATGGGGCTATGCCTGTGTAATACTTACTGTCCAGTGCAGCTCAGCCAGATGAGTATTTTGTTCTTGATGTGTGTTGAGAAAGTCCATTGTGATGTAATTAGTGTATGGTCTACACTTCCTAGTTCTTTTTGAAAATATTTTGAAACCTCCCAACATTTGGAGGAGTTTCTGAGCTTCCCGTTTCAGGTGATTTATTGGACTGTACACGTAAACAAACACAGCAGAGCCTGTAGACACTGAGGGGTGACTTCTGAAGGCACCTACTACCCATCACCTCTTTCAGGCCATAGGTTTGAAAGTCATGTTCGTTTTCTAGGGAGCACACAGTGATGACTGAGCAGTTCTGTCATAGACCCCACAAAACTGTAGCTCTTGTTAGATTCAGTATTTTCTTAGTAATTGTGTAGACAGTATCTTGTTACTGAAAGAAATAAATAAATCTATTTGAGCCCCAGGAGTCAGGTGATGGAGAGTTCAGAGTATCCTTGGTACTGGATGTCTGAACGCAGGCAGAAGAGATCTCCAGCTGCACTGACTGTGGGGCTGCTCTTTCCCACGGGCCAAGGTGGCTTCTGCTGACTGAAAAGATTATTTTTCTTATAGAAATGTTTCTCTAAATCTTAGAGTCTAAAAGGTAGAGATTCTACTAACTTCATAAGTAGAATAAGCCTTTTGTCAATATTTCCCAACACTTTGGAAAGAGGGGAATTTTAGCTTTAGAGACAAAGCTCAAGAGTTCTAAGATGGTAGAGCTCTTTCTCTGCCCCTCCCCCATCCCACAGGGTTTCTCTGTGAGCCCTGGTGTCCTGGAGCTCACTCTGGTTGGCTTCAAATTTAGAGATATGCCTGTCTTTGAGTGCTGAGATTAAAGGTGTGAACCACCTCCACCAGACTTGAGAAGGATTTCTTAACAGTAAATACAGATTTGAGACACAGAAGGGTGACTGACCATCTACTCACTACAGAAGTACTAGAAGTTTTATTGACCCCTTTCTAAATTCGCTAATTTATCAGGGAATAATTTTCAAAAAATGGCTTGAATACTTAGCATTGTATAAAAATTTAGATAAAAATAGATTATTGGAAGGCATGGTGAGGTTAGTAAAACCTCTTTAGATATTGCTTAGAGTCATTGGATGGAGTCTGAAACTCCAGGCTACTGCTGTGCCCTGAACTACCTCTGTACCCAGCTGAAGAGGATTAGCTCCTGAGACTGTCTCAGAGTATTCAGGGTTGCTCAACAAGTTATCACCTTCTGAGTTTCCCTTTTTGTGGCCTTGATTCTGAGGACTGATTGCCCCTGCAGGGAAACTTTGTGTCATTCAGTGGATTGTAAATTTAAGCAGCAAAATACATTTTTAAAGTCAAATGATGACACTTCTTAAGTTCAGAGTTGTTTGCTACGTTTGGCTCTGCCGTTTTATTAATTAAATTATGATTAAGTTTTTAAAGATGTGTTTTTGTTATTTACTTAATGGGTTTGGAAGGAATGTATTTTCCTGTGGGCAGCCCATCTTGCTCTGTGATAAAAGAACAGGTTTTGAAGTGTTCTGTAGTTTATCCATCTAAGATGATGATGATGTAGGCATTTTTCTTAGTGTTTTTAAAGCTAATCCTTTATTTACAATTGTTAAGAAAACTTTTTGAGGAAAAAGCACAATGTATTTTTATAAAATCCTGGAATATTATCAATACTGCATTATTTCAGGACTTTCTTTGCATGTATTGGGTAGATTATTAATTTATTTATTTTGGTTTTTCAAGACACGGTTTCTCTATGTAACAGCCCTGGCTATCCTGGAATTAGCTTTGTAGACTAGGCTGGCCTCAGATTCTGAGATCTCCCTGCCTCTCGTGTGCTGAGATTAAAGGCAGGAACCACAATGCCCAGCTGTTGGTGTTTTGTAAGTGCGCTTCATAATCAGATTAAACTGAAACAGGCCCAAACTGAATCTTAGTAAGAATGTCTGCCCTACCACAGGTAATAGGTATTACGAACTCTGGAGACAAGCGTATACATGCACTAGCACACACGCACACACACCTACACACACAGTCACGTACACACATACCTATGCACACTATACACTTACACATTCACACACATACACCCTCATACACACCCACAGACACTTGCAAACACTCAGGCATACACTTACACATACATACACATACATACTCTCACAGAAGCACACTCATTCACACACATGTGACGCACATACATATATACTCAAAATACACACCCACGCACATATACACACTCACACACATATACATAGAGGCTTGTATGTATTATATGTAACTTTAGGTAAATAAATAATAATGCGATTTCTCTTTTAGACATCATCCATGTTGTTTTACCTTCTTTCCTTCCTCTCCTTTGCCTTTTGTTTTGGTTTTGGTTTTTCAAGATAGTCTCTTTACGTAGTCATGGCTGGCTTCAAACTCACAGAGAGCTGCCTGTTTCTGCCCTTTCAGTACTGGTATTAATGGTGTGCACTGCCACTACCTGGCTGAAGGTTTTTTTAAATAAAAATTATTTGAGTAAAACTTCCAAAAATACGATATAATTCACTTAATATTTCTAGCTGTTCTTAATTTCAAAGCCTAACAAAATTTGTCAATCTTAATTTTCCAAATTGCCAGACTTAGTTTTTAAGAAATGGAGACTCATAAAGTCTGAGCAGTATATTCACTAACAAACTTGATAAAACATAGAAATACTTTGTGTTTTTAATCTACAATTACTTTCCCCCAGGGGTTTAGTGGTCACTCTCCTGTATGGGAAGACAAACTCAGAGAAGCACCTCGAGCTGTGCGAGCACTCCTTCCTGCCTCCAGCGCCGCCCGGGGTCCCCAAGGTGAGACACGGCATCCTGAGGATCTTGTTAGATGATGTGTGGACAATGGGAAGGCAGCTTTGAGGGAAAGATAGAAATTGGTTAGTTTAGTTTGTTTTCCTGTCTTAATATCAAACTGTCATTTATATAATTTATAAGAAGACCAATGAATATTTGGTTTAAGAGAAAGAAATTGAATAAGAATCATAAAATGTACACTTTGTAATTACTTTGAAAAGCATATTTTGTAATTAATCTAAAGAATATCTAGTTTTAAGAACTCCGGTCTTATTTTTATCATTCTGAATTAAGCTATTTTTCTGTTAAAGTATCAGATTTTATAAATGAAGTAGGTATTGCATCTTGTGGGTACGTAGAACTCATAGTTGTTATATGCTCAAGTTTTGTGTGATGGGGGTCTCATGTGGAGAGACAAATGATTTGAATTTAATGCTAGTAATTTAACTTTAAAGTCACTTATACTAAAATATAAATGAAACAAGTCATGTACAGTATTAGTTTATATTGTAGAAATGAAAGAATTTCACTTCATTCTGAGTGTTTTATTTTGATCACCTTGATTATCACGTTATAACGTTTTCTTCATACTGTTTATTATAATTATTGTGCATATATATTTGTATACATTAGTGGGTCGCTGTGAAATTTCTGTGTAGGTATGCTTTGATCCCGTCCACCCTTCGGACTCCTCTCTCTCCCAGTCACGTCCTCATCCTCAGAGCCCCTTACACTCTTGGAGAGAAACCATGAGACCTTGCTTACTTGTCTTTCTATGTTTGTCTTATTTTGATTAATACATGTCTTCAAGATCTGTCCTTTCTGCAGAGGCCTGCTTTTCTTCTTCTTTATGTACAGTAGGACTTCCTTTCATGTCCACACTGAGTTATCTGTCTGTAGCCTGGCTTTATCCTGCACGCTGTGAGCAGCGCTGCAGGAACCGTCACTACACAGGCATCTCTGATACAGACATAACCTCCTTACGATAGAGACCCTGGAGTGCTGCAGCTAGGCGGAATGCTTGCAACTTTTTTTTTTTAATTACCTATCCTTCATTTCTTTCTGTTTCTGTAGAACTTTCATTAGTACATATTCTTTGATTTTGCTTACAAAACTCTAAGGAATTAGACCTTCTCTTAACCATTTGTAGTTTTCATTCATTTGGAAACTACATAACAGAATAGAAAACATTTGAAGAATTAAGATTTTATATAGTGATAAAATCAAGACTAGTTAATTTTTTTATAATCCAGTTTTCATAAAGGATGCAAAAATAGTTTTGACTTGTTATTTAAAAATGTGATTGGTAAATATAGTCTATGAAAAAGAACTTAATGGTTCATAGTACACCTAAGACATGCATTTTATATATACTTATGCCTTAACAATAAGTTTGCATTCTAAGCAGCCCGTTACTCAGGCATTTTCTCAGTTGAGGATCATAGAATGTGTAAAGCCTACGTAGATGGTGTAGCCTACTACATCCCTCGTGTGTGTGTCCTGTCTCTTGCTTTAGGCAGTGAGCTTCTCGCTAGTTTCTGTACTGAGTACTCTGATCACCCTAGAGCAGTAGTATTTGCATTAGCTAGACCGTGAAATGAAACAGTGAAAATGTGGTCTAACCGGTGGATCTCTGTGTTTGAGGCCCAGTGTGTTCTACATGGTGAGTTCTAGATTAGGCAGGACTATATAACAGGAAAAAAATGTGGCTCAATAAAAACATTTTAGTGTTTGGGTTCTTGCTTTCAAGGTTTTTAAGGGAACTTGTTGACGTATGTGAACTCTGCTAAGCCGTAGGCTGTGAGTCACCAGCTTGTCTCCTGTCACCTGTAGTTTTCCTTTCTTCTGCTTCTTTGCTGTGCTAGGACTTTGTTAACGTCATTGTAATCTTAAGTTCTGTTGTCTGCCTCGCATTTGTTATATCACTGCATATTGATGCTTAGATTTATTCAGGAGGCTCCCACTTCTTTCCCTATTCCCTCGCTAATGGTTATTCTGATAACGACTGAAATGTAGTGAACTACATTTCCCTTGTTTTTAATTGTCTCTAATTAAAGTAACTTTAAAGTGAATTCATTTGATAGTTAATATGCTCTTGGTCCCCAGAAAAGGAGAGGGACCACAGAGAGCACCAGGAAAGACAGTACGTTGACAGATCAGACATGTTAGCTTCACAGTTGGAGGTCTGGTTGAACAATAGCAGTGATTATGCCTGTCCATTTAAATCACCTCTTGTCAGATTCATAGAAAATAGTAATCGCTTTTGTTTTCCCAGATGTCTAATTTTGTTACTCTGAGAAACGAAGTTTGACTTAAACTTATTTTAACAAATTTTTTATTGCCTGGAAAATAAGGGAAAATATAAAAAGAAATCGATTTGAAGCACACTGCAGATGTTTGAAATCAAGGGAACACTCAGTAACACATTATGGTTTTCCTTAAGTGCTTAGAAGAAATGAAACGAGAAGCCAGGACTATTAAGATCGATAGAAGACTGACAGGTGCCAATATAATTGATGAACCTCTCCAGCAAGTGAGTTTCAGTATGTGGTATTTGGATTTCATCTCTTGTATTTGAGTTATATTTCTTTTGGAAATACTAAGGTGCACCTCTTAGCTATTTAATTTCCTGAAATTTTATGATAATGCTATCTTTGAATTTTATACGTACTAATTATATTTATTAGGTGCCTATAATGAGGCAGTTTATTTAACATGATAGCATTTATGGGTTAATGGCTATTAGAAAAAAAGTTTTGCTGACATCTGATATTCTAGTAATTTTATAATTTAAAATATTAATGTATCAATCTTGTTCAAGCTCGGTGTTTGATAAATTAGACTTTTGAGTTAGTTTTATTCCTTTAAAGATGTTTATCACCAGTTTGATTAAAAGTGTTAATTAGAATTGGGAGTAGATATCCCTCTCTCAAATATTTTTTGATAATGTTTTTGATTATATGATCATTATAAATAATTTATACCTTGAACTTTAATATTTTATAAATTAGCCTGTAGTTAACTTATATGACTTGTAGAAATCATAATCTTGATATTATGGACTAACAAACAGTACTGGCTGCATCAAAGGTATTAATAGGATTCAGTTAGTTTTGTGATTAGATGACAGTGGATCTGATGGGATCTGTGAAGCACTTGAGCTCTTGGTGTCTGCTGGCATTATTTACCTCCCCTCCCAGGGAACTGAGCCGGACTCAGCGTAGTAGAGCACTGAGTGTGGGTAGTCATAGATAATGTTCTAGTTTTCTCAAAAATTGAAGGTGTATGAATTGGGGTATCAAACATTTTTTGAGATGGTTTTTAACATGAGATAATGAAGAGAGGAATTTACCATCACAATTTAAGATGTGTAGAAGAATATAAGTCGGCCAATAATTGTCTTGTTTTTGGTTTTTGCTCCTGTTTTTAAAACCTAAAAAGTTGTTTTTTTCCTAATGTTTTGCTATAGGTTATCCAGTTTTCGTTGAGGGATTATGTCCAGTACTGGTATTACACACTGAGTGACGATGAGTCGTTTCTTCTTGAGATTAGGCAGACTCTTCAGAATGCACTCATTCAGTTTGCTACTAGGTAAGATTGCTGCTTGGAGTTACACAGAACAATTCAGGTGTGTCATGTATTACAGTAGGAAACAACTTCCAAATGAGGGGGTTTTTAGCTAAAAGGTAAGTTAAATAGTGGACTGTTATTATGGGATGTTATCACATTATCTACACAAACATACTTTTATTTCTCTTGGACAAAGTCCTTAATATTTTGTGGAAATGCAAATTTCTCTGAAGTATTTGCATTGTGTTACATTCTAATTAGCAACTTCATATTTGTCTGTCTTTGTCCATAGTTGCCATTGTCCGTCAGTTTTGATTATAGCACTTAGTAGATGTGAGATAGCTTATCTTTTTGGTTTTGTCTTGAGTTTCTCTGAAAGTTATCATTGAGCCTCTCCTATACTTATCAGCCATTGTATATCACCATTAAGGAGTGCCTAGGCACACCCTCGCTCTGTTCTAAAAATGAGGTTGCTTGTATTTTATTACTGTTCTACTTTGCCTTTTTAAATACTGAATCCAGCCGTGATGGTGTACACCTATAATTCAGCACTCAGGGGACAGAGGCAGGGGATCTTTGTGAGTTCAAGGCCAGCCTGTATACATAGTCAGTTCTAGGACAGCCATGTAGACAGAGAGCCTCTCTCCATTTGGTCTGTACTTCTCTCATAGTGTTTGTAGTGAATTGGCATAATTGCCTGGCTGTGACAGAGGTGAAGGGCGTCCAATATTATACTTTTTATTTGTCTTATTAAAAAAAGAAATTTACAGCTGGGCGGTGGTGGCGCACGCCTTTAATCCCAGCACTTGGGAGGCAGAGGCAGATGGATCTCTGTGAGTTCGAGACCAGCCTGGTCTACAAGAGCTAGTTCCAGGACAGGCTCCAAAACCACAGAGAAACCCTGTCTCGAAAAACCAAAAAAAAAAAAAAAAAAAAAAAAAAAAAAAAAAGAAATTTACTTATCTAGGAGTAGATACTTTTGTCACCATTGGGACATTTAAAAGTTGTTTTAAAACTTTTTTAAAATAATTTATTCAAATTTATTTTATATTCATTGGTGTGAAGGTATCAGAGCCCCTGGAGCTAGAGTTACAGACAGCTGCGAGTTGCTGTGTGGGTGCTGGGAATTGAACCAAGTCCTCTGGAAGAGCAGCTACTGGTCTTTACTGCTGAGCCATCTCTCCAGCCCCCTTAAAACTTTTTTAAAAAAATGTTTATGGGTGTTTCGCCTGCATTTATGTATGTGTTTCATACCCGGGGAGGCTAAAGGAGGGCATCCCTTAAAACTGAGTTATATACAGTTGTGAGCTACTGTGTAGGTTTTGGGAACTGAACTCTGGTCATTGAGAAGAGCAGTCAGTGCTTTCAGCAGATAAGCCTTCTCTCCAACTTTGCCATTCAGACATTCAAGAAGCACATAGTAATGCAGCTTGACATAGAGTTTGGGGAGCACATAGAAGTTGAAGACACTTGCTTTGGATATGTCCCTGACAGCAGCAGCCTCTACAATGTTCCGAATGACGAACTTCTTTAATGGCCTTGTTCTTGGGCACATAGCGGGCACAGTTAGTGCAGCGAATTGGCTGCACATGGCAGTGGTCCATTTTGGCACAACTGTTGTTCCTTCTTTTTCTTGTCGTCTTGGAGCCAAGACCCAAAAGAAGCTGGGTTTATTTATTTATTTTTGAATAAGGGAATGGGGGTAGTAGGGATGGGACTCTGGTGACTTCTAGGCTTAAGTTTTTATTTCAGATTTTATAGAGACTCATAATATTGCTACCAGGTTTGTTTACATGCCTAAAAATGTGCTTATATTTTTGAGAGTGCTGATCCTTTCTCAGCTCCTAAAGATTGAGGACACTGTCATTTTTTTGCTTCCTTGTACTTGATTTGGCCTTCTTGTGCCTGTCAAACTCTAGCAGTGCCTTGACGACACATAGACGAGGTGTGTTTGGAAGGGGTCTGTACGGTCTCAGTGCATTGCTGCTGTCAGTTCCCTCAACAGCTGGGTTTGGATGTGGATTTTATGGAGATTTCCTTGTGAGCGGCAGACAAGGCTGGCCGCACAGCAGAGGCAGAGCGTGCATGCTGCCTGTCACTCATCCACTGTGCTCAACAGTCACTGTCCTTCCTTCCTTCCTTCCTTCCTTCCTTCCTTCCTTCCTTCCTTCCTTCCTTCCTTCCTTCCTTCCTTCCTTCCTTCCTTCCTTCCTTCCTGTCTTTCTTGTTAAGACTGGTTTATTCACTACAATGCAAAGCCTCTGATAGAAAATAAATAAAGAGGGCCAGCCATGAAATGAACATCTCCACAAGTTGTTCATTGTATATGTATCACCAGCGGTCAGTGAATGTGTTCTCTCTGCTCCCATTGCCCTGGGTTCTCTTGTGGCCCAGAATCTTACTTTGTTTGTCCTAGGTATACTTCTGAAAGTGTTAACAGAATTATGTGCTGTTCTTACTTGTTTGACTAGTTACTAAAATGTTTTTTGAAGTTTGTTGCTGTTGAGATAGAGCACTAAATGATTTCATAAGATTCATATTCAACATTTTGTATTCTAAAGAGTTTTATACATATTATACTTATCATGATCCTTTAGCCCAGTGGTTCTGTATGTCTTGTTATTTAGTGGTGATAGTTTTAAATGTTAGTATATGTAAGAAAAAAGAGTGGAAAATTTAGAATAGAGTCAGAAGAAACCAAGAAGTGTTTGAAATACTCCTAAGCAGATAGGAACATTCTGAATCTCTCAGGTATTTTTGTATCTGGGGTGAGAAATTATAAGATGTACCCATGGGCAGCTTTTTTTTTTTTTACTATTATTTTTTTTTTACTATTTTTACCAGTTTTTAAGAATTTAAATTGTATTTTTATGCCTTTTGATACTAATTAAAATATATTGTCAGAAGACTAAGTGAAATAAGAGCTGATATACTCAGAGTCTTAAGTAGGAACATCTAAAGTATAAACATTAAAATATGAAAGGAACAAAATCTGAGCCTGAGGAGCTGGAGGATCTCACAGAGGATCTTTGCTTCTTACCACTACGACAGCTTGCAGCTGCCTGTAACTCCAGGGAGACTGACTCGTGTCTGCAAAGCATTTATATAATGATTTAATGTTTTTTTTTTTCTATAAGGTCAAAAGAAATAGACTGGCAGCCTTATTTTACTACACGCATTGTTGATGACTTTGGCACTCACCTGCGAGTATTCAGAAAGGCTCAGCAGAGAGCAACAGAGAAAGATGATCAAGTCAAAGGTACTGACTTCATTTCATTTGAATGTTAGGATTTAACAGTCGTTTTTCTCTGCACATTCTCAGCTGTTCCTTGTTGTTCTAGGTACAGCAGAGGATCTGGTGGAGACCTTTTTTGAAGTTGAAGTTGAAATGGAGAAGGATGTTTGCCGGGACCTAGTGTGCACTTCTCCCAAAGATGAAGAAGGTTTAATTTTTAATATAGCTTTTTTGTGAACAGTCTCAGGTTAGAGGCAAGTTAGCAGGACAAATCTTAGGTGGCGTTGTTCTTGCACAAGACAGCTTGCAGAGAGAAGACACGACTTTATTGTAACTCTTACACGTAGCCTCCACGTACGTTTCTCATCCTGAAGCTTACCTTTTAAACAGCAGAATGCTTAACATTTTAAGAATTAGAGTAATTTCTGGTTCTTCAATTTATTATCTATACCCTAAGAGTATACCTGTTTCCCTAAACTCTTTTCTAATTAATTTCAAATAAAATATTTAGATTATTATGTGCTATTATATGTTACTAGTTACTGGAATAAGTGTTTCTTGTTGTTTCAATAAAATTTCACTTGGTAGGAAGTTAGATAATTTTTGCTCTCTTGATTTTTTTTTTGTTTTAATTTTAGTTTAGTCCACAATTAGATCTTTACTATTTGGAATGTAATTTTACCAATGGGATTAGCTATTAAATTGTTTCCCAGGAAGTGTCTGTGTGGGAATAACCATAAGGAAGCATTGCTTTTCTTCAGGTTTGGAACGTGCTAAACTATTTTCTTGCCTTTTCTATTATTTTCTTTTCCCTTTTTTCTTCTTTATAGTTTCCTGTTTATAGTTGTTATTAAGTTTAGTTTTCACCACCAGTTGATTAGTGGTGTGTGAAGTCATAGTTAAAGAACAAGTACCTACAGTGCTGTGAAGAACTTGCGTGGGAGAGCGTTCTTAAATGAGTAGACTGGAGGGCTCATCCTGCGGTGTCGCACATCTGCGACTGTAGAAGTGTGCATAGGAAAATACATAATAGAAATGAAAAGTATATTGTATATTTAAAGCTGTCTTAGAGAAAAACAATTTTGTCTTTAAAGTTTCTTATGATTAATAGCCTGGCTCAGACTGATGTGAGTTTGATTAGTGAGTAGTAACTATGGAGAGCAGTGACAGCGATTTAGTGAATGTTGATGTGTAAGTACTGGAGCAGGAAGCTGTTATGAACACGAGCCTTTGAAAACTGTGTCTTATATAAGAGTAGGTAGAGACTTTAGATTTTCTAATGTTATTATGGCTACTTTTTCTGTTTTTAGGATTCCTAAGGGATTTGTGTGAGGTTTTATTATATTTATTGCTACCTCCTGGAGATTTCCAGAACAAGATCATGCGATACTTTGTCAGGGTAAGCGTAAACTCATACCCAATAATGATGTAAGGGAACTGAGAGCAGTAGTTCTCAAAATCTTTGGCCTTGAGACCCAGTTAAACTTCAGAATTATGGAAACATTGAGGAGCTTTTTAAAATGTGATTCTTCATCTTTAATAAGTATGTGTCATAAAATACAGAAACAAATTTTAAAGCAGAAGATCATTAGCTGGTCGGTCAGTGACATCATTGAATGCCTTCTTTTCCCATGAGCGTGCCAATGTAAATAAGGGCTTGGTGTCATTATGAAAGTGGACTTTGGCTCAGCTCATTCTTTGAGAAAGGATTTTGGGTCTACGGCATACCACCTTGAACACACCCAATCTTGTCTGATCGCATAAGCTAAGCAGGGTTGGGCCTGGTTAGTATTTGAATGGGAGAAATGAACTTGGGGATCTTTTCTGAATTCTCCAGAAGTCACTGGCCAATACTTTGAGAGCTGCCTTAGAGCTAGGAACTTTAATATTTGGTTATCATACAGACAGACTTTTCTTTTTAATTGAAAAACGATTCATGCAATATATTTTCATCGTTTCCTCTCTGAGTTCCGCCCCACTTCCCTAAATCCACCCAACTTTATGTTCCTCTTTACGTCTCTCTCAAATCAAAACAAAAGAAAACCAAGGAACACAGAAAAATCCCACAAAAGGGAAAATCACACCAAAGTCCATCATGACAAAACATGCCGAACAAAACAAAATGGAACAAAACGTCCGCAACATCCTGCTGAGTTTGTTCTTTGTGGTTCAACTCTTCCCAGGCGTGGGGCCCTCCCTGAAGTGTGGCTGATAGATCAGTGACACTCCACTGGAGAAAAGTGGTTTTCTCTTGGCAGTGGCATCAGTTACAGACAGCTTCTTGGTTAGAGGTGGGATGCTGTGTCTGCTTCCCCCTCTCAGTGCTGGAACCCCGTCTGTCTGGAACCTGTGCAGGTTTCATGTACGCTGTCTCGTCTCTGAGTACAAATGTGAGTCCTTTTGTGGCTGGAAGATGTTTCCTTGAAGTCATCTATCACCTCTGGCTCTTAGAATCATTTGGTTCCTCCTTTGCATAGCTCCCTGAGCTCTGAGGGGAAGGGATTGGTGAAAACTCCACTTTTACAGATGAGTGATCCAAAGACTCAGTCTCTGCACACTATCCAGTCGTGGGTCTCTGTTAATTCCACTCCACCTCAACAAGAATCTTCTCTGGTCAGGGTATAACAATATGCCATCAGCAGTCATTTTACCGCTACATTCCTTTAGCAGGACAGTAGTAGGTTTCCCTTTAAGCCATAATTTGTCTACTCTCAGGTTCTTGTCCCTTTTACCAGTGTCAGGTGTGGGTTCCAGTCTCACACAGACAGTCTTGAATCCAGTTAGAAAGTGATTGACTATACCTGGGATATTTGCACCATTATCGATCGCACCAGCTCATCATGCAGGCAAGTCACCTTTGTAAGTCTCAGGGTTTGTAGTAGACACCTCATTAGGATTCTTGTTGGAGGTGGGCCGGGATGATGAGACACCAAGAGTGTGGAAGAGAACGTTATGGCTAAACTCCTTTGGGTGGATTCTTGTTAAAATGTAAGGTACAAAGATGAAGGAAGGTTGAGGTTTAGTTGAGGAGAAAAGTCCGTCACCAGTCAGCTCTAGTTACACAAATTTTCTCCCCAAGAAGTACCATTTTTTGTTTCACTCATCGATAGTTGTGTCTTGCCTTTGCTGGTCTCACCCAGAATGATGTTGTTACTCTCTTAGCCTTACCGTCTTCAGTTTTGTGTCTCAGCATCCCTCATCAGAGATTCCTTTGTGACCTTGAATTTCAAGTTCCTTTGTTTTTCCCTGTACTGAAGACAGTGCCTAGTTTTTTTCCTTCTTAGTATTTATCCCCTTTAAGTGATTTTTTTTATTAACTTGGTGTTTTTCTCCATAATGAGCTGTAAACTGAGGCCATGCCTACTATTTATCTACACTGTTGTGAGTCCAGTGGTTAACACAGTGTGTGGTACATAGCAGTTACCAAACCAGCGGCTCCCCTGCTGGTTGTGGCTTGCGTGCTCCTGCACAGTCAAGAATGGAGGTGCTGTGTCGTGAAGTGAAGCTGCTGTTTAAAAATATGTAGGAAGGTAGTCAGCCATTGTCTCACTATAGATTGCATTTTGGCCAGATTTCACCCTTTTTGGTGAGATCTAGTGTAATACAGCACTGCATTCAACCAGTCGGTTTTGTTCACTGAACTTTTCGTCCTTTGTCAGTTTTCTTTCTCAGTCTTTAAATTCAAACTTTTACAGCAGATATTTTGCTTAGGTTCAATAATAGGTTAAAATCTCTTTCTGGTGTATTGATTTTTGTTGTTGTTGCATAGATTGTATCAATGCAGTATTTGTCTAAGGTAATTGCTGTTTAAATGGATTCCATTGTCTCCATTCTGTGTTTTATTCACTGAAGGAGTCATGGCTTCAGTAACTTTATGTCAGGTTTTCATATTGGCATTTGGGGCAGTCCTTTAGAAATTTGAGGTCTTAGGCCAGCAAGAAGGCTCACTGGGTAAAGGGAAATGCCACCAAGCTTGAAGATCTGAGTTTAGTCTCCAGAGCCCCCACAGTGGAAGGAAAGACCATGCAAGTATTCCTCCCCACACAGTGGGAGGAGACCATGCAGGTTTTCCTCTGCCCTCTACAAGTGCTGAGTTGTGTGCTTCTGTGTGTGCACTCCTACATATGTAATAAAAAAGTGAGAGGTGTGTGGGGTCTTAAACTCAGAACTGCAAGCCAGAGGCTACCTGCTGTGGCACTGCATGGATTGCAGGGCACAGTAGAGTTTGTAACAAACTCTGACTACCCAGATTGTATAAGGAGAGTTTCAAAGACCATAGTAATTTTCTAAGACTGCTACACTGATTTTTTTAAAATAATAAGCCTAAAATCACAGTTATTTTCAATCTATTATTTTGAAAAGAAACTCTGAAAAATGATTTTGGGGATTGAATTTTCTGCTTAGAAAGTACATTTTAAAATTTGAACATGTGGGTCAGAAACAGAATTTGAAGAAAGAAATTTGAAATATATTTTTAAAAAAGAGTATTGTGGCTCATGCCTGTAGTATCGAACATTAGGAGGCTTGGGCCAGGAGGATTAGTCATTGAGGGTCATCCTCAGCTACATAGAGTAGATGGAGACTGCTCTTTCATTTTCCAGCCGCTCGGATCTGAATACTCACACAGCAACTATAATTACAGCACTGTTTGGCCTCTTATTATCTAAGTCTCACACCTTCAGTTAACCCATTCTCATTAATGTGGGCATTACCATGAGGCTGTGGCCTGCCAGCAAGGTTATGGCTGGTAGCTGGCGTCTTTCTCCTTGATCTCACCTACTCTATCTCGATCTCTCTTCCAGCCTGGCTACATTCTGACCTGCTATAGGCCAAAGCAGATTCTTTATTAACCAGTGCTAATAAACATATTCATAGCATGCAGAGGGGAATACAATATCAACATAGAATGTTTGAGGTAGCCTCTGTTTCTTGAGATCCTGTCTTAGAAGTAAAATAAAGAAACAAAAAGTTAGAAATTGACTATATTCCTTACAACCTAGAACTCTAAAGAATCTCAATTTCTAGAAATTACTGGTGCCTGGATTACTGCTTGTTAAAATTATTAATTTATCATGGGGTAATAGCTGTTGGCAAAACTGTTTATTCATGCAGGATTATACAAAATATTTCTTTAAAGAAAAAGACAGACGTCTTTGTATATGTGTGTGTATATAAACATATATATGGCTATATGTCATGTGTATATGAAAACAAATGGTACTGATAAACTAGAGATCTGCCAAGAGAATCAATTGGGCTTTTAGTTAGGAAAGTGAATATTAAGTTAACATCACCAGTATTCTCAAAAAAATGAATTTTGATAACGTATCACATGCATCAAGGAATGGTTATGCCACTAAAAATTTCTGTGTTAGTAGCATCAGTCCTAAGTTCTTAAGCCTTCATTGCCGTTCATGTAAATAAATGCCCATCTTGGACTTAAATACCGTAGAGGACTGGTAAATGTAAAGTAAGTAGCTAGGTCAATCAAGGAGTCCCATTTACACACCAGTTCCTAGGTAGTGCTGCGGTGTCAGAGATGTAAGACATATCAAGAAAGTGCCGGCACAAACACGATACATGCAGGCACAGCTGTGCTGGAGGGAGCTGCTGTTCATCCCGGCCGCCCAGACACTGCAATAGTTAGACTACTGCTTGGCCCATTAGCTCTAACTTCTTATGGCTAACACTTATATCTTAATTTAACCCATTTCTTTCTTAACAGTAAGTTCATTGTAAGCAATTTCCAAAACTCTAGAGTTGATAGAGACATCTTGCTGCCTGGACAGTCATCCAAAGTTCTTTTGTACCATTAGGACATCCATCTTCAGCCTACAGGCCCATAGTATCCAGCAGTCTTTTCCATGAAGCAGGAAATTTCAAAGATAGTTCTGTCTATATTTGCAGTTTGTCAGTCACTTGCAGACTCTTTCATGAAGCAGGAACCCCAAAGTATTGTCTCACCTTTAGGCAAGTTCAACAGTCTTTTCTCTGTGGGTTCTGCATGTTCAGTTCACATAGCATGCCATCTAGCAGTCCAGGCAAGAGCAGTTTCTTGTACAAATGGCTAACAAACTCCATAAGGAGCCTCTTCAATGCCCATCTTCCTCTTGGTGCTGCCAAGAGCAGATGTGTCTCACTATCATGAAACGTCCTAAATTCTTAAAACACTTTAAATGCCATATTCTGAAGGTCTCTGAAAGATTTGAAGAATCCCTATACATCTCTGTACTTCTCAAAAATCTAACTAACATGACTACAAGCTTGACTATTGTAGATGACTCTCCGTTAACCTATACAGATGTGTTTGAAACTTGAACGTGGAAAACCTTTTAGCTGAAAGGATCAGGGCAGACTTAGTGGGATAATTGAGTCTTTTTTTTTTAAAGCATAATTTCTTTATTGATTCTTTGGGAATTTCATATCATGCACACTAATTCTGTTCACCTTCCAATGTCCCCATATCCTCCCCTCACCTCTGCAGTGCTATGCAAAAGAAAATTTGAAAACATCAAACCAAAGCAGGCAGGCAAACAAAGAAGATAAAACCCAAAAAGTTCTCTTTGCTTCTCCATCTTTCCCACCTCTCCAACACCTCTCCATCCGTCCTTCTGGCATTGGGAGCCTGAGTGTGTCACACAGTGTATCATTTTGTCCATCAATGAGCCCTGGGTCTGGTGTATACCATCATCATTGGATCCTCACTGACACTCCTCTGGGATATCCCGCAGCTGCCCAGAGTATTTTTTTAATATGCAAATTTTATGTTTTTATTTTTTCCATTTTTATTTATTGTTTGCAGTGAACACTTGCACGTGCAGGTATATGGATAAAAGAATTTACTGTGTGACTCACTATTTTTTCTTTCTTTTCCTTTTTTCCTCTGAAGTTTTATTTTACTTGGTGGGAGGGGCGTGTTACAAAGGCAGAGTAGATACAAAGGGCCGGGGAAATGAATGGGATGGAAATGCATGGTGTGAAAGACACAAAGCATAATTGAATCTTTAGTAAGACATTAGGAGGAAGACAGAGTTTTAATAGATAAGGTCATAAAAACTGCTAAAAATGGGACTGCATGTAGAGTATGTGAGTAGATTTTACCATTTACTTTTCACGTTTTTTTTATTGGGAAAATAGTCAGGTAGAGAAGACATTGTGCACCAGCTGCCCGGATGGAGCCAGTGCTGACCCCACCTGGTGCTTGTCTGTCTCATCACTTGAGGTGGACAGTTGTGAAAGTGACGAGTGACTTCTCCTTTTATAAAATACATTTGTACAGATGCTTGGATCCATACAGACCTTTATATAATACTTTGTAAAGACAAATATTCCAGAGGTGTTCTTTTATTGTTTTTTATTCCCCTCTGCTTTTCATAGTGTTGTGGCTTGTTCGTTCTGTCTGTCTGTCTGTCTGTCTGTCTGTCTATCTATTCTTCTCTCATATGTTACATCCTGACTTCAGTTTCCCCTCTCCACTCCTGTCAATCTCTCTCTCCCACCTCCCTCTAATGTGGGTCTCTGCATCTACTCCCATCATTTGCTGGATGAAGCCTCTCTGATGACAGTTATTCTGGGCTTTGGTCTACAAGTATAGCAGAGTATCCTTAGGACTTATTTCATTATTTTATTTATTTACTTAGCCAGTCGTGTTTCCTTTTATCCTTGGTCTTTGGGCCATGTACCCTCTGGCTCCTGGCCCTCCAGGTAGTACCAGGCATGGGCTCCCTCTCGTGTGTTTCAGTCGGTATTGATCCTTTTATTTTATCTCGCTGATGAGCGGGGGTGGTAGCACACTTTGATGATGCAGTGATCCCATGTCCCATGACTCACTGTAGTTTCAGAAAATTTATGCTGGTTAGATTTGAGAAGACAATTGAGCTGTTTTTTAATTTTATTTTTAGGAAATCCTTGCACGAGGAATTCTTCTTCCATTAATAAATCAACTCAGTGATCCTGATTATATTAATCAATATGTCATATGGATGGTAAGTACCTCTTAAAATTGTGACTTGTCTTTGAAACAGGTTTTTAGCAGTAAAAATGTAGTTTGGAGATCAGAGTGATCAATCAACAGAATATTAAAGAAATGAAGCTATCTAGTCTCTACATTTCTAGTATCTTCTTTAGTATTATGGCATTACTATTGCTGTTTTAGTGGCCGCTCTAAAAATTTAATGAATCACATCAACGAATGCATCCAGCAGTGCCTCACCCTCTCATATCCAGTGTGAGCCTGGCCAGCAGGAGCATCTCAACTGTGAACTCTAGTCCTGTGTGTTTATTTATCTGGACATAGATAATTCACCCTGTAGTGCAACTTAGACTTTTTATGTCATAATTTCTTTTAAAAAAAAAACCTAAGGAAAAATAAAACTTGAGTACCCACCACAAATGTAGCATTTTTAATGATCTTTATTTTTTATAATTCTAAATATCAATTTGTTTTTATTTTATTCTGAACAGTTTCCTATAGTATTCGTATGATTTTCAAGATTTGTGGACATAATTGACATCAAGCTCACTGAACCTTTGCTTATCATAAAATAGGTTTTACTGTACGATTCCAGGATATTTCCATTTCCTCTAGAATGTTCGACAGTTTTTAGTAGTTTTAAAGATGGGTGGTTGGAAAAATAAGTTTGTCTTTTTGCTCTGCTTGTTTCTGATGAGAAGCAAGCGTCAGAGTACGACTGTGTCTGCTGTTGTGGTTCTGGACTTTGTGATGAGAAGCAAGCGTCAGGGTACGACTGTGTCTGCTGTTGTGGTTCTGGACTTTATGAGGAGAAGCAAGCGTCAGGGTACGACTGTGCTGTTGTGGTTCTGGACTTTCTGAGGAGAAGCAAGCGTCAGGGTACGACTGTGTCTGCTGTTGTGGTTCTGGACTTTGTGATGAGAAGCAAGCGTCAGGGTACGACTGTGTCTGCTGTTGTGGTTCTGGACTTTGTGATGAGAATGACAGGCGGCACAGTGCTCTGCTGCTGTCGTGTGGCTGTGCCTAGTCGGGACTATTGCTTAGTAGTTCACCGACTGATAGCGTAGCCTGATTAGGTCTAATGTAGTTCTACTCTCCCTTCCTCTCCAGTAGCTGCGGAGTGTGCTGTGGTGAGAGCATCTGCCCTCATCACAAGGTCATGGTGCTCATCTTGTCTCTGCACTTACTCCGCCTTGTAGTCTTTGTTGCTTTCCTGTTTTTATATTCCCATCACTTGCACTCTACACAACACTGTCTTGGTGTTGTGTGGGACACTTTTCCTGGGAGGTGCAGCGTGCTCTACTGCACGTCTACTGCAGAAAGGGCGCCCATGGCAGACCAAAGGTGCCAGGGAGTCTCTGGGACTGCTAGTGGGGAGTGGGCAGAAGGTTACTTACAGGGAACAGGGTGTTTAAAAGCCAGTGCAGAACAGAACAGACCACCCCAACATGGTTGATGACTTAAAAAACCCTGCAGATCTTAGAGGCAGCTCTGCAAGTCTATGAGAAACCTCTTGGTCTGGGCTAGTCTGTGTTTTTCTTCCTCATCCAGCAGTCAGTGCCTGCTCCATAGAGCTGGAGAGAGGGTTTAGAGAACCGTTCAAGACACAGCCTTCCCAGGCATGAGACTGACTTACCTTCTCAGGCCCGTAAGCCTTCTTCTCCCTCCTGGAGGAAATGCTTCTCAGGAGGAAATACCATACCACAGTTAGTTATTACACTGCATCTTTTATTTCAAATGTTGTCCTTTCTGTCTTTTGCTGTTTTGAGTTTGCTAGCTCTGTGACAGCTTCCCTTTCCAGTTCATACTCGTTCTCATCACTTCCCCGTGCAGCCTCGTGGTCTTGACTCTCATCTCTCTGTCAGTGACTTGTAAATCACATATTTGTCTTGATTTTCCTGAATAATGCCTTAAAGCATACTCAGTATTAACACTGGGACACTTAATGGCTCCCTGACCCTCTCTTGTGGTCTGTCTCTTGTCTTGCTTTGCAGTAGCTTGAGCGTCACTGTCCTTCAGGCCATAGCTTACAGCAGCCCTTCGTGGCTTCCTTCCCCACTCTCCTCTGATTTGTCAGCTTTCGGTACTCTTCGTAACAAACACATTTTAACTTTAAGATGTTGCACACAGAACCTTTCTTACCAGAGCCCCCACTACTCCTGCTGCATGTGTTACCTGCGCCTTCTCCTTTTCTTCTCTACTTATTGCCTATGTTTGGTGTTTATACAGCAGCATGGTATATTGTCTCTAGTCCTGTTCTGTTTAAGCCTAGTGACTTCATTTCCTTCAGAGCCAGAACTGGATCCCTCGTAACACGATGGAACTCCTACCCCACCCCTGCTGCTCACCCCTGCTCTTGAGGCCTTCCCTTTCACCTCCACCCACCTTGACTTCCTTGCTGTCCGCACTCTTCCTGAGCACGACTCTGTGCTCCTCAGTTTGTAGTATGTTTAGCTTAATCATTTTTGTTAATGGTATGTGACCCATTTTAATGTAAGTGCTTGAATGTACTGCTTTTCCTTTTGGTACAGTCTTTTTTTTTTTTTTTTTTTTTTTTTTTTGTGGTACCTGACCTATGGTTTCATTCAGTGCTGAAATTTTCTCCTAATAAGTAATCCTCTCCTACCTGTCCTTTAAAACTTTATTTTCAGATCCGTGATTCAAATTGCAACTATGAGGCCTTTATGAACATTATTAAATTAAGTGACAATATTGGAGAGTTAGAAGCAGTCAGAGATAAGGCGGCAGAGGAACTACAGTACCTTAGATCTTTAGATACAGCTGGTGATGGTAAGTGATTCCCTCTGAACAGGGTTCTCTTCAAGGACTCTCAGATCCGTAATAACAATTTTAATTTATGTAATGGAATCGTCAACTTGAGTCTTCCTTCCTGTCCTAACATGTTCTTAGAGTAGATGTGAAGACGATGTTATTGCAGTTGTCCCTAAAGATAATAGGTCTGATTTATTTGAAAGAAAATGATTTTATGAAAAGTTTTACATTGTTTTTTATTGAAGCAAAATTGCTTTATTGATTGTTTTGTAAATAATAAGTGTGTGTTAAGTACTTTTGAAATATCACAACCATTTTTAGCTCCTAATTTTTTTCTTTCAGATATTAACACTATTAAAAATCAAATAAATAGTTTATTATTTGTAAAGAAAGTATGTGACTCAAGAATACAGCGGTTACAGTCAGGCAAAGTAAGTATAAAATACTTTTGAAATAATGCCTACTTGTAAATAAAACCCCAGTCTGTGGCAAAAAGTCACAGCAGGACTTAAAATGTGTGGGTGTGTGCATACACATGCTCAAGGCCATGTACAGACTAGAGGTGCCTTCCGTGGTTGCTTTCTACATTTCTGTGAACCTGGAGCTCACCTGCCCCTGAGCTCTGAGAAACCCTTGTATGTATGCTCCCACCCAGTGTTTGGGTTGCAGATACAAGTCTATGTCCAGCTTTGTCATGTGAGTCCTGGGGATCTGAGCTAAGGTCCTGAAGCTTGCCCCCCAAAGAAATAGCTTCATATGCTGGAGCACAGTTGATACTTTGTCAAGCAGTTCAGGAAGGTTGATGACAACACTGCCTGGAAGTCCCCCATCTGCAGTGCTCCTGGCCTGCGGATGGATATCTGTGGAGCCATGGACCTGGAGGTCTGTCCTAAGTGATAGTAAGTGAAATTTAGATGATGAGAAGGTGACGCTGATAACTGTTCCAGAAGCACCCAGATATTGACGATGACTGTTAGGGCAGCAGAGGTCTAATTTGTGGGACTGTTGAGCTCATCGAGAGTGCTGTGGTGGTATGTGTAGCATCAGCACCGCACTGCCAACATCTCATGTGAACATCGTCCTGCCAGGTAGTGGTGCAGCATGCTCTGTTGGCCTGCTGCTGCCACGGTGTTTGAGTGAGTCGGCATGCAGACTGCTGGAGGGGGCTGGATGAGCGCAGAAGGCATGTGTCTTCTGTCCTCTGCTGCTCTGATAAACACTCATCAGAAACAGTTTGAGGAAGGAAAGACTCTGACTTTCACTTCCAGGTCGCAGTCCACAATGAAGAGAAGGCAGGGCAGGGACTGGAGCAGAAGTCACAAATGAATACTGCCTCCTGACTTGCTCCTTGGCTCGCTCTGCCTAGTGATGGTGCTGCCCACAGTGGGCTGGGCCCTGCCACGTGCATCATCAGTTATGACAGTTGCCAGCCTTTCTGATGTTTGTTTTCTTTGTCTGTACAATCAGGTCTGATAGTACCCAGCAGGATCGCTGTATGCAACACAGTGCCTGACGCCAGATGTTTTTGACATTTTTAACCTTTTCTCTAGTTTTCTTTGTAGGTAGCCATCTTGTTCTATTGCTTTGACTATGTACTTCACTATTTATATAATTTGAAAAGAAAATTTCTTTATCAGTAGCAGAGGTTTTATTCTGTTAAAAAGCAGCATTGCTCTTTGGAAATGGTTTTTCTATGGGATAAATGCTAATGGAAATTAAAGTAACAAGTAGTGACAAGTAGTAGGGAGTAGTGACAAGTGCTACTGTAGGTGGCAGGGAGCTCAGGGTCAGCGCGGGTCCTTTCTCAAGCTAGGTAGAGAGCAGCCATGGAAGTAACCTCTCACCTTCACATGGAAATGAAAAGCCTTCAAACATACTCTTGGCTTCATCTCCTGAGGTGCTTGTTGTACACTGAATGTGTGGAAATAGAGAATACATGAAAATACAGTGATAAAGGTTACTTTATATTGGGGACAATTAACGCTTATTACATTTTAAGTGATTATTTGATAACTATTTCTTAAAACGAGTAGGGATTTAGAGTCTCTCAACAGAGTATTTTATTGGGAACCAACATACATGCAAAGGGGAGTGTTTGTCACATTTTGATAGAATGTTCCATTGCCCTTATATTTCTATAAACATCCGACCCTAATGACTGATGATCCGTTTGTGTCTATAGGAAATAAATACTGTGAAGCTGGCAGCAAACTTTGGCAAACTTTGTACAGTCCCCCTGGACAGCATTCTTGTAGACAATGTTGCACTACAATTTTTTATGGGTAGGTCAAACTTTATTTAAATAATATAGTAATTAATTCTTTTGGTTTTAAATTTGTGGTATAATACAAGTAACCCAAAAACTCTAAAATATGAAACTTTTAAGTGTATAGTCCAGTGATATTTAATATCCCGCCATCTCTCTAAAGTGGTTCTTCTGTTATCAATTTTGAAAGAGATCAGCTTCCATTCTTAGCACATCCCCAGGTGTCTTCCATGTTACAGCATATGTCAGAATTTTCCTCCTTTCTCAGGGTGTCACATACATACACACACATGTGGGCTCACCTCCCCTGCCCCTCAGTACCTTTTGTATATCCATTTATCCCCATGGGAATGTTGGGTTGCTCTCATTGTTCTTCTAGTGAGCGTGAGTTTGTAATGTGTATGTATGCAGAAGCAGCCTTTTGAGATTCTTCTTTACGTTCTTTCCCGTATGTAACAGTATGTGGAAGTAGTCATAATTTTCTTGCTCGTTCATTGATGAACCACTATACTTATTTTTCAGAGATTGTACCATTTTACATTTCGGCCATTTATCCTCCCCAGATCTTTATCCTGGCTTTCAGAATTTTCTTTTATTATCAAAACAAACTATTTTTTTTTCATTTTATATACCAATCCCAGTTCCTGCCCCGTCCCCTCCTCCCATTCATTCCCTTCACCTTTCTCCCCCTCCCCACCCCCATTCACTCCTCAGAGAGGGTAAAGCACATTGCTTTGAGGAAGGTCCAAGGCCATCCCTCCTATATCTAGGCAGAGCAAGGCATCATCCAAAGAGAATGGGTTCCCAAAAAGCCAGTAAAGTAGTAGGGATAAATCCTGGTGCCATTGCCAGTGGCCCCTCAGTCTACCTCAGCCATCCAGCTTTCACCCCAGAATTTTCCTTTCAGAGTTCCATCAGACAGACCCTGCCAGTCCTTCATGGTGGAGTTGTCTTTTTATTCTGCTATCTTGCTTGAAGTTTAACAATTTAAAATATTAATGAATTTGAATGGCTATCCTTCCTTCCTTCCTTCCTTCCTTCCTTCCTTCCTTCCTTCCTTCCTTCCTTCCTTCCTTCCTTCCTTCCTTCCTTCCTTCGTTTTTCGAGCCTGGGTTTCTCTGTGTAACAGTCCTGGCTGTCCTGGAACTAGCTCCGTAAAACAGGCTGGCCCTGATTCATACATATTATTTTGTTAATATGACATTAAAATTATTATTTTTTTAATTTTCGAGACAGGGTTTCTTCATAGCTTTTTGGTTCCTGTCCTGGAACTAGCTCTTGTAGACCAGGCTGGCCTCGAACTCACAGAGATCCGCCTGCCTCTGCCTCCCGAATGCTAGGATTAAAAACGTGCGCCACCACCGCCCGGCCATTAAAATTATTTTTATCTGGTAAACATAACCAGCATATGTGAATCTTTGAATCATTATTTGTGTGATCAAAGTCTATGTGGTTTCATACAACGTTAATCTTAATTTTAATATACCTAGAAAATTAGATGTTATCACTAATCTTTATTCAGAATAAATAAGTGTTGATGAAGTAGTTACTTATATAAAGTCTTACATAGCAAGTTCAGGAGGAATTTTATCCTCAAAACATCCCACTTATGCCCATATTCAGAAGGATTAGGTGGGGAAAGACCTTAAGTTGCAGGCCAGCCTGAACAGCTAGCGAGATTCTATCTCAAAAATAAATACAAAAAGCTTTCCTGTTTCCTATGTAATTGTTATTTAGCTTAACCAATTTATAATTACTTTTTGAACTTAGAGATTTTCTAAACCTTTTGTTTTTACTTGTTTCTTCTCTTTTGAGATTAATATGATTCCATCATTTTCTCCTTCTAAATCCTCTCATATATCCCACCTTGCTCTCTTTCAAATTAGTGATCTCTGTTTGCATTAATTATTGTTGTGCACGATCTGCATATACATATATATTCCTTAACACATGCATGCACCCTGTTCGTTCTGTGTGGTGTTACTCAGGTTTGTTTTCAGGGCGGACCGTTTAGTATTAGATGACCTTAGCTTTCCTCAGTTGTTTGCCCGTAGTTCTTTCTGTAGGGTTCACTGGGTGCTCGTGGACTTTCTCTGGTCCACTTAGAGTTTGGATATTTGAAACTACAACCCTTCTTATTTTCAAACAGTAATATGAACCTAAAGTATGACGTTAATAACTGTTGCTATGCTTTTGTTTGGTAGATTACATGCAGCAAACTGGAGGTCAGGCACATCTCTTCTTCTGGATGACAGTGGAAGGCTACCGGGTTACAGCTCAGCAGCAGCTAGAGGTTTTATCAAGTCATCAGAGAGATGGGAAACAGCAGACCAACCAAACCAAAGGTCTGCTAAGAGCAGCTGCTGTTGGAATCTATGAACAGTATTTGTCTGAGAAGGTAAGGATTTATTGTGGTCACTGTTTCTGTCTTAGGCAGTATCATTCATAATACTCAGTGTGGTCCTTTCTGTGTTGGGCATGATGGCTTCAGTGACCCCACCTTGGTTAACCCTGAGGATAGCCTTCCTGTGCATTTGGATTCTCATTGTTTAGGAGAGGAATCCAGTTTTATAAAATCAAATTAGGATGTCCAAGTTCATGGAAGTCGAGACTGGTAGTTCCTTCAGGTTCAGGGCCATGCTAGCCAGAAGCAGCAGGATAGAGAAGACTGCAGACAGTTGTCTGGCTTGCACAAGGCCTTCAGCTCAGTCCCTGCAGACAGGTGTCTGGCTTGCACAGGCCTTCAGCTCAGTCCCTGCAGACAGAGGTGTCTGGCTTGCACAGGCCTTCAGCTCAGTCCCAGTACCATTCGAAAAGAAAGGTAGGTTTTGTGTTTCTGCATCTGTCGCATATGTTTTGACATGAACATTCTAGTAAAAGGTTTATCTTTAAGATTTATTTTGTTCCCATATCACATTGGGACTTTGCCTCCAACATTGGTCACTAAAGTAGATTTAGGATAATGGTAGTCTTTTAGTAGACATTCGGAAAGGTTACCTGGTGTCAAATTAGTCAGTCATGTCATACCTACCTAACTACTGATGGCTTGACTGATTTAACTCCTGTGAATAGTGTATCCTGTGTGCCTAACACTGCATGTCTTAAGTAAATCTTTGTTAATCCTTAATAGTGATTTTGAATAACCTTTGGTAGAATTATCTCCATTTTTTCCAATTCTGGAGTAATGTATAGAACAAATTTGCTCAATAAAAATCAAGAACAAACCTGTCTGCCAATGCTAGCAAGATGACTCAGCGGGTGAGAGCACTGGCTGTTCTCCAGGTTTGGGTCGATCCCCAGCACCCACAGGGCAGCTCACAGTTGTCTGGAACTCCCATTCCAGGTGTACAGCGCCCTCTCTGAACTCTGTGGGCACTAGGAGTACATGCAATACACAAAAGAAATACTTAGACACATAATTAAGCAAGTCTTAAAAAATTCTTTGTTAGTCTTTTGCAACATACAGGATGAACAAAACACTGTAGCTCTGTTTTAGCTTTCTTAAATACTCAGTGCCATTGGGAAAGCGTCTTGTCTGCTGACTACTTAAAGCGATGTGGTCCTGTTATTAACTCCTCTTATTTCCTGTGTATATTTAGGAATTACAGAGATCATTATATTTTTCTCTGTTAGGCATCTCCAAGAGTTATTGTTGATGACTATTTAGTAGCAAAATTAGCAGATACTTTGAATCATGAAGATCCAACTCCAGAAATCTTTGATGACATTCAAAGAAAGGTATTCATATCTCATGTTTCTTGAAAAAGTATTTCTGTGTACATAACAAGTTTTGTTTTTGTTTTTGTTTTTTTTAGGTAGAATAGTTACTAGAAAGGTACTAGAGTTGTAAAAACTCTTAGCTGCAGTAATATAAATGACTATTTTATTTCTTTGAATGACCATTTAGAAAAATCCTTATTTTGGGTTGCTTTGTTTAATATGAAGTAAGAGCCAGATACTTGTCTAAGAATTCAGTAAGTAGATACCTGTATATAAAAAAGCATGCCTCAAATATTCATCTTAATATGTCTTCATATATGTATTTGTTTGTTTCTTAGAAAGCACTACTTCCCAGAGCATAAAAATGTCATAATATCACATAACTTTTATTAAGGTAGGAACCTTTTAGTCGCTGGAAGGTTCAGAATATCATAGTAGTTATTAAACTATCTTATTGTTGACACATTTTAAGTTATGATATATTATAGAAAAATAGTGTAGCCGTGTGATACTTTATGTAACAAAATCATTAATTAATATGTATTAAGTTTTGAATACCTCAATTATTTCAACAGGTATATGAATTGATGCTGCGGGATGAAAGATTTTATCCTTCCTTCAGGCAGAATGCACTCTATGTGCGGATGTTAGCTGAGCTTGACATGTTAAAAGATCCTAGTTTCAGAGGATCAGACGATGGGGATGGAGGTAAGGTGGTAGCAAGTGAGTGTGTTTGTGAGTGTGTGTGAGTGTGTTTGTGTGTTGGTGTGTGTGAATGTGTGTGTGTTGGTGTGTGTCTCAGTATGCATTCTAATTACCAAAAGAGTGGCCTTTTAAACATGATAAAAGTTGTTTTTAAACCCAAATGTAAACTGTACTATATTTTAAAGCTTATAAGGGAATATGAGAATAAGAATTTTTTTTTTAACATGGATCATCCAAAATATTTTTCTGATGATTTCCCTTTTGTATTCAGTAACCGTGAGGACCAAGTGAGGAGAGCGGGCGCTCTGAAGCTGCCCGCTGTAAAGCCGTGTGCAATGTGAGCTGTTTGCTTCCTCTCCGTGTCTAGAGCTCACACATTGTGGGTGCCTTCTTTCAACCTAGAAAACCCCCAGCCATTTCTCTAGCTGCTTACTTCTTTTCAAACGCTGATCCTGAGAGTTGCCAGCGTGTTGTAGTGATGTTCACGTGTAAGCGCAGGGCGTGCTTAGGTCGGCACGTGGTTCTGTGGCTCACTCCTTATGTCAGATAGTTGATTCACTGTAAGCCTCATTTTCTCAGTTGTACTATCCTATCATCATACAGTAATTAAGTCATCATTTTTAAACAAACTTCTCTGTGTGGAAATATTTTATGAGTTAAAGCACACACATAAAGGCTGTAAATCCTTGTTTTGGTGGACCATGAGGCCTTCGGACATGAGTTCCTAGATCCAGTGGTTGTTTTACTGTGATTACATTTGGAAACTTTGTTAAGGAGCAATTAGCTATCTAAGATTTGAACAGCTTTCTACTATGTTCTGAATAAATAAGCAATGTAAAGATAAAGGAAATTGGAAAATGTAGAACTAATTACATCTTTTGATTATGACCACTTACTTGTGCATAGGCTTTTGGACAAGACGATTCAGTGCATTCATCCACTGGAGTGCTCAAGCTATGAGTGTGTAGCTAAGGGAGGGATTCATTTTCTGAGCTGTCACACTTTGTAGCTCCGGAGAGGAGGACTGGAGCTGTACGCTTTATCTGTGTTTCTTTGCTGCTGGAAAATGGGAGCTCTTCTGTGAAGTTTGAGAAAGCAGTCTGTCAGCTCACCGTGCTAAAATAACTATTGTCAAGTCTTTACTATTAATTTCATCCATTTGAAAATTATCTTAGTAATTTTAAAGTGGGTTTGTTGTGTAACTCGGAATGGAGCAAGATAAATTGAGTTATGATCAAGTTACCTAGGTGCTATATGACTGAAGATACTAATAGAGCTTATGTGTTCTGTGTGGGTAGAATTGGCATGTTGTTTAACTCACACTCTAGCCAATCAGTCCAAACCGTGTACTTATTGTCAACGTAAATTAGGTTAAGACTGTGAACACACTTCTCTCATGCATCAGTTGTTGATTGACTCCAGATTAAATCACTAATTGTAGTTTATAATTATATAGTGTGTGTTTGTATGTGCACACATGTGTGCATGTGTCACACCTGTGGATGTCAAGAGTATTGCTTGCAGGTCAGTTCTCTCCTTTCAGCCGTGGCAGCCATCACCCTTCATCTGCTAAGCCGTCTGCTTGCCCATGTTTATGTGTGTGTCTTTTTAGGATGCTTCAGTGCTTTCTGATACCTTCATATCTTAACTGATAGATTTTTATACTCAGAAAATAATTTTGAAAGCCAGTTTTAAAATTTTTAAATTATAAAATTGTGTAATCTGCACCATGATTTTAAATGGCTGTTAGCTTTATTGTCTTCTAGCCATGGATTTCAGCCCCTTGGCCTCACGTTCTCAGTTGAGCTCCTACCTCTTACATCTCTGTATAGTTCCGTAGTTTGGAAACCTTTCTTTAGTGACAAGACAAAAGAGATTGCCACGCCACAGAAGGGACAGGAAACAGTTGGTATATTTATTTACTTTAGGAATCATCTGATTATAAACCAAGAATATTTCTAGATGAAATTTCCCATTTTTATTTTTTGTGATCAGAGTTCTGGGGAGCTAAGAAGTGTTCTTTGTTTAACAAGTTATTGAGGGTAGAAGGCGATAGCAGCTACTCCTCTTAGAACTGCACAAGTAGTGTGGTCTATTTGAAGATTCATCTAACTAATCAAGTTTATACATTTACTAAGACCTGGAAAAGGTATATTAACTTTAAATTGTATATGAGTAATGTTTTACCATAGCAGAGACACCATAACTGAAAGTTTAATTTGCTTAGATACATAGTAAAGCCCAAAGGGAAAGAAAACATCATTGTTCATCATTAGTGTTAATAGTTGCTACTTAATTGCCAATGTTTACTAACATTTTTTTTTGTTCTTATTCTAACACTTGCATTTTCCCCCAAATAGGCATACAAAGTTGTGAGTCTTGGCATTTTTGTGCTCACTTTTCTCCTGTCTATTTCTGTCTCTGTCTCTATAAGCACACATCATCAAGCCTAGCTATATACTTCCAACATTTATTACAAAATTATTTTCTCATCATGATTACTTAACTAAATGGCATTACATGCAATGATTTCATCAACTAGACTGCAATGTTTTTTGCTGAATTTATGAGGAAACAATGGACAATTAAATATTTTAAAAACCTGTGTGTTTGTATCTCACACTGAAGACTGATACTATTGATATATTTTTAATCCCCAGAGACAGAAGTCAGAAATAATTCTGCAGTTACCTAATGTGCTTCGCTCTAGGTTCTTGCCTGGAAACGGAGTCACTTGCATTGCATTGAACAGCATGTGACACATGAGAGACCGAGTGAGAACAGTCAGTGTTGTGACCTCGTGCTCACCTGGGAGTGTGTGTCCCGTCGGGGGTGCAGATTCTCATTTCAGTGTTAAATTGGCATGGTAGTTGGAGAGTTAAGGGTCAGGTATTTAGAAGTGTAAAACAGTTCTGTTTTGTCTCTCTGCTCTTTTTGAGCTGTATTACTGACCTTTAGACCTACATAAAGTAATAACTTTGAACTTTTTTGCTGTGTGTTAATCTTTATTTTTCTTTTGTAGAATCTTTTAATGGATCTCCTACAGGAAGTATAAATTTGGTAAGTACTACTTATAGGTACTGTAATGAAAATACCGTGGCAGGCTTTTGGTGCGCGTGAGAAACGTCAAGCTGCCCCACAGAGGGGAAAGACATTATGCTTTTAAAGAAATGCTGAGTTTGTAAGACATCCAACTGTAACTTCGAGTTTCCTCTTTAAGAAATGGTGATTAGATCAAACCTGCATAGCTGCAGTTGAATTTTATAAAGGAATTGATTTTTTATCCCAAATTGGAGGCAGGGGTATCTCTGTGATCTCAGGGCCAGCCTGGTCTCCATAGTTTCATGCCAGCCAGGGCTATATAGTGAGGCCATGTCTTTAAAAGAAAAAAGAAAAGGAATTATTTTTATCATTTTTAAACAGTATATTCATATATTTATTACCCTTAAAGCTTTAAATCACTTTTCTGTCACTTTCAAAAGAAATAGTAAATTGTTAAATAACTTTCAGCTTAGTTACTGTTGAGTTGCTGTACAGAGACACTGATCAAGGCAGCTCTCAGAAGAAAACGTAACTGAGGGCTTGCTTACAGCTTTAGACGGCTAATTCATATGATCATGCAGGGAAATTGTACTGGAGAAGTGGCTGAGAGCGACACTGTACCAGGTCATTTCTTTTTGGGCATCAACCAGCTCCCAAATCTATGACATTGAAACTAATTAGTTTTGAAATCTCAGCCTAGAGTTTCTGGCTAACTCTTTAAACATAATCTAACCTGTTTGTCTTTATCTACCTTTTCCCTCGAGGCCTACTGCCTTCTCTTCCCTCCCGTCTACCTTACTTTCACAGTTTTTCTCATGGCTGCCTGGGCGTGTTCCTCTCTCTCCCTAATTCTCTTCTCTCTGGAGCCGAGATTTCTCTTCCTATTTATGCTGCCTGCCAGCCCTGCTTATACCTCTCCTGCCTAGCTATTGGCCATTCAACTTTTTATTAGACCAATAGGTGGCTTAGGCTGGCTAGATGAAACAAATGCAACACATCTTTCCATGACTAAACACACATCCTTACATGGTTAAACAAATGCAACACATCTTTCCATGATTAAACACACATCCTTACATGGTTAAACAATTGGAACACACCTTTACACAGGTAAAGTAATACTCTGCAGCATGAATAAATGTCATCTTTACACAGTAAAGTATTCCAAAACAAGAGACTGGGCCTGGGGTGGTCTTGGGAAACCTCAAAGTTCACCCAGGTGACAGACTTTCTCCAATAAGACTACACTTGCTACTCCTTCCCAAACAGCTCACCAACTGGCAGCTAAGCATGTAAACACGTGTACCCATGGAGGACATTCTCGTTCAGGCTGCCACATATGTATAGAGTGTGCACCAAAACAATTCAAGTTCTTACAAAAAGGGTTTTGTAGTCAGAATTTTCTGTCAATTATACCTTATTTAAGAGAATTAAGAATGATAGATTTTCAGTTTATAAACTCCCTGGCAATAACTGGTTGTATCTTCCATAGTGAACATACTCTTTCTCCTGTGTGTCTGCTCTGCCATTGGATGACGTGTCTCCTGGAGTACTGTTAGGAAGAGAGTCTAGTGCTCTGTGAAGTGCTCAGCTCATAGTGTAGAGGTGAAGGATGACTTTTACTCCTGCATTTCTTTTTTTTCTTTTAAATTTTCTAATAAGTTCAGAGGTTTATTGTGACTTGTTTAGAGATCTATTGGAACTATACTGTTCCTTATTTGGAAATAATTTCATTGAGTAAATGTTTTTTTCAACATAGAGTATAACTTGCAAAACAGCTGAAGCAAAGCAGCCATAGGCATGCCAGATTCTTTATAACTTTTAAAATGCTTTATAAACGTTTCACTTGTTATATTTCAGAGTGTCGTAACGAAAAACATTGTTTTTAGAGCATTCAGTGTTAGCGATAATTTACATCATATACGTATAAACTTTGCAAACCTTGGAAACTTTTCTCAGTTTGAAATTTTCTAATACTCATATTTATAGTGTTTATACAAATGTTTAAGCAGTAATAAAATGTGATATTTTTTTTTCTTCATGTCCGAAGTAAGTGCTTTTATGTTTCTCTCTGTTTTGGAGCCTATCCTGGAACTCACTCTGTAGATCAGGCTGGCCTTGAACTAACAGAGATCCACTGGCCTCTGCTTCCCAAGTGCTGGGATTAAAGGCGTGTACCACCACCACTCAACCAAAGATTTTTAGATTTATTTATTTATCATGTATACAATGTTCTGTTGCTATATATGCCTGCAGGCCAGAAGAGGGCACCAGACCTCATTATAGATGACTGTAAACCACCATGTGGTTACTGTGAATTAAACTCAGGACCTCTGGAAGAACAGCCAGTGCTCTTAACCTCTGAGCCATCTTTAGCTCATACATCTTTTAAATTTAGGCTTTTGTGTAGCTGGAGTCACTCATATTTGCTTTATGATATGAATCAAATTTTAGTGCCTAGCTAAATTTAAAAAATAGAATTATGAACTAAACGAAGTTGTTGATTGTAATGTACTGAGCAGCGAAAGCACTTAATGCATCGACTGTTGACATATGACCGTTGAGATCAGCAGGTGCATGACTGCTGCCACCTCCACCAGAGACGGTGGTGCGCTTGTGTTTGCTGAGCTAACAAAGTTTGTAGTTCTAGCTGGGCACAGTGGCATCTGCAGACTGTGTCAGCCTGGACAGCAGTCCGTAAAAGCAGTGAAGAGGGAGTAAAAATGTTGAAGTCTAATTTTTTTTTTTTTTTTCGAGACAGGGTTTCTCTGGTTTTGGAGCCTGTCCTGGAACTAGCTCTTGTAGACCAGGCTGGTCTTGAACTCAGAGATTCGCCTGCCTCTGTCTCCTGAGTGCTGGGATTTTAAAGGCGTGCGCCACCACCGCCCGGCTCGAAGTCTAAATTTTGCCATAACATAAAATTAGAAAATAAATGAACAAATGAGCCATTTTCTTTTCTGTGCAAGATGTTTAAGAATGTTAGCTCAGGGATTACTATATAAACTGATGATGTTAGGGTGATATTAATGCGCTTGCTTTAAAATCACAATTTTCTTCTCCCAAACAGTACTTTTTCCAAATTAGATGTGACTCTGGAGTTAATACTGTTTTACCATTTAGAATTTCATAGTCTAGTTGTTATTTACTTATGTATGATAATTGCAGCAAGATTTAGGGTTTTTTTTTTTTATCATTTTGTCCTATATGTAATATAAAAGAGGATTGTTATGCTTTATTTTTGAAAAGTTATTTTGTGAATTTCTGTGCTGTTATTGAAAGAATGTATAGTTTATAAATTACAAGTAGATATTGGATATGTAAAATAATTTATTGATTGTGCAATTTCTGTTTAGAAAACATTGTAGTATGAGCCACAGGAACACTTAAAGCATATGTGTTTCACGTCTTTCCTAAATGTTTTCACTTTTTCTGTGCCCTACCAAAGGTGGAACGGTTACTAATGCATAAATCTTATTAGAGAGTAGCTGCAGAGGGCTTTTTGTTGGAGCCAAATGGCAAAGTGCATGCTCCACTGCTAAGTACCAAATCCTGTGCCCTTTTAAAAGGAAAGACAGTGTTGTGTTAAGCACCCTGTGCAGAAGGAGTAGGTGGAGAACAGCGGTGTGTCCGAGCGGTGGGGGCATCAAGGGAGGACCTTGCAGGCAGGGTCTTCAGAGAGCAGCTTCAGGTTGCCTGGTTTTGTTGTCTCTGTGTGTCCTGTCTGCTTTGGAGATATGTTTGTGTGGGGGTGCATATGTATGTAACCTAGTTAAAATATGAGCTTCCTAGTTTAATAGTTAAATTAATTGTTGATCAATCAGTAATGATTTTGTTTGTAGCATTATAAACTTTACTAACAAAAGTCTCAGTCTGGACCTACATCTGTTTGCTAAGTAGTCACAATGGCTAATTATTATAATAGTTTTCTAAATACTCTACATATGTTCTCAATCTCACATAGCCTGTGAGGCAGGTGTCTTCACCCTCCTTTTGTGTGAGGTAAAGCAAGTTAACTGATTACTTCTCAGTTAGTGAAAGTCTGAGGAATGTATCTGTCTGCAGTGTATTTCACCATTAAGAATTCTTATTGTAAAGAGTTCTAATTTTTAATTTTCTTCCTTTATATTGTCTATAATTCAAACTAAGTTACTGTATATGGATAAGTAATGAAGAGACTATTGTGATATGTTAAGTTGGTTTTTTAGTTTCTTTTTTATTTTAATACTGGGTCTTGGGTGTGGCTCTGGCAGACCTCAGATTCAAGGCTGCAGCCTTAGTCTCCCTATTGCAGGAGCACAGGAGCTTAGCGTTCTTGCCTAGCTCACTCAGAGAAAGGTGTGTGGCCGTGCACATGGTGTGAAGCACACGCGAGGAGGTAGCGATGGTAGACCTTTGATACAGAATGCCTCGAACTTCTCCTGTAAAGCTTATTCCCTAATTTTTTTTCCAGTCTTTGGATGACCTTTCAAATATGTCCTCTGACGATTCTGGCCAGCTTCATGCCTACATTTCCGACACTGGTAAGAGGCCTTGTGCTGCTCCCACTAAAGACGGGTGATTGTACAGCCCTGTTACCTGCACATTTAGGATTGCGTTCAGCTTGTTTTGGGATCTTGTTTTCTGATTTTTTAAAGACAAATTCATTAAGTCCTGTAATGTTTGTTTGCTTGTGTATTTGGATGTTTTTCTTCTCTAAGGTTGCCACATTTGAAAATGCTTAATTTCTAAGCATTTTATCGTTTAAAGTAAATTCCAGAGCCAGTCTTTTCCTCTTTGTACTTGAGTCTTGCTGACAGGCGCTTTCCTAATTCCCACTTCTTTCTCACAGAGCTCTTGGGTCTGTATTTGCTTTCATACACTCAGGAGTTGGCAGAGATAGTCGGGACAGGTGGATTTTGTGCACGTTTCTCATGGAACCTCACAGATGCTCTCGTGGGTTGAGCAGCCTAAGACCTTGCGATAGGTAGTCTTACATGGTGCTGATGGTGTTTTCATGGTGGTTTCTCCCCAGCCTCTCACTGTCCTAGAGTGTAGGAGTGAGTGATTTTCTATACTTGATGAATTATACAGAGATTCATGTCTCAATTAAATTTCATTTAATTTACATTTGAGATTTTGAAAAGAGATTTTGACATGTAATTATAGTTTGAAACATAATGATCTGCATTTTAAAAAATGGCTCCTTTCTTATACTTAATGAAGCGAAGGACTCACTTCTCCTCTTTTCTGCTAGATTTCTGGAACAAGTTATCAGTCAGTGGATCCTTCATTTTTTATGTGTAGTGAATACACACTTTACTTTCTTTGGGGATATCACTGGAGAACACATTGTCCATTAAAGTAGAGGTCTGGTTATTTTTTCTTTTAACTTTTAAAGCACTTGTCCACCTTTTTCTTCCATAAATTTTTAAAGAATTAGAGAAAGTCTTCATGTTCTTTCTTGGCTTTTCTTCTAATTTTATGGATGTCTTTTCATGTAATAGGCATTTTTATTTCTTAGAAATACTAAATTTTATGTCTAGAAGAGAACATTTGTGCCCATGTCTCTGGTGTTAATATTTTTCTTTTTAGGCTGTTCTAAGTTTCTTGTTGTTTTATCAGTTGTTTATTTTTAACAATATATCCTTTAAATGCATGAAAGCATAAAGCAAAATGCTTTTAGTAAATTGCTTTTTCCCTCATTCAAACATACAGAACTTCTGGGGAAGTAGTATCATATTGTGGGATTAAGAGCACAGCTCTTGACCAGTTGCCGGGCTCAGACTTCATTCTGTAGCTCCAGTTAGAGGAGCTCCTGTGAGGTCTCTGCTAGAATAGACTTGTCCTGTCAAGTGGAACCTTGGTAGAAATGCCTGTCTCATAGGATAGCGATGTGGGTGTATCTAACTACTGGTAATGGCTTATGTGTGACAGGCATCATTTTTGGGTGCTTATTTATCTATTTTTCCAACTGGACACTGATCCATGATCTCATGACCTTAGCATAAAACTACAGTTCAACGCCTTGCTGCTCTAGTGTCTTGCTACATGTTCACTGTCTCTTCTGATCTTTGGTGTCTCCTTGTTCTCACTAATTCATAGTTGGTTGTAGTGAGCTGCCTGATTGGCTTCTACGCTCTTTTTCAAACAGCCCTTGAGCACAGTTGATAAAGCCAATCCTTGATTGATCTGGCCACTGTGTTTTAAAAAGCCAAATCTTTAGCTTGATGAAAAAGTCATTTATTATTTGATATGCCTAAGTCTGTAAGAACAAGTTGACGGTATAATGTGAGCATTGTATATTGCTAAAATGCGTATGTAGAATGTGGTGACCAGAGTATTTCTGTTACTAATATTATCATCAGTATAATTATCATTGGCCAAATAAAATATATTGGTAATATATGTAAAGGTAAGGAAAGACAATTTTAAGTAGGAAGCGCACATTTTAGCATGAGGCTTTGTTCATGTATATTTGGCAATATAGATACCTACTTCTATGTTATTAAAATAATTAAGAAGGTATATAGAACTCCTTTGTGAGATGATTTGAAAGACAGCAAAACATTTAGTCAGCTCTAAAACCGCTCTTTCATTTTTTTCACGATGGATCATTGTAATCCCTCATTATATCAGTCTTAGAGTTTTGGTTAGTATCATAGCCTAAACTGCCACAATGCCTTCCACATATGCCAGTGTTGTAAAACTAGCCGAAGAAGTGTACAGGTACCATGGCCATGAGGAGAAACAAGCCCTTGGGAGTGAAGAAGCAGTAGTGCCCAGCCAGACTCCCAGTAGCATAAAGACCATTGTCCTGATTTGGATGACCTTTTTATGCCCTCAGTTTAGGAACAGCAGAACTGTGTCCTTCACTCAGTGGTGTAGAGGACAGATGGATGAGATACAAGAGCTATTCATGTATGAAAACTGAGAAATGGAAAGTCGTAGTCGGGAATGGTATCTGATAGTCCTCTAAAGCCAAGCGCCAGTTATGTGCCGCCATGAGTGTCTACATCTCATTGTCCTTGTCATCACATACCCCAGCGTCTCAGTCCAGAGAGAGTTAGTGTAGCTGGCCTTCAGAAGTCTTCAGATAGCACACTATCCACAGATGCTCTGTTCTCCTACATGAAATCATAGAATGTTCACATGTGACCCCATATATTTTGATCATCTCCTGATTGGAAACCCAGTACAATGAAGTGCTATATAAACAACCGATATACTGTATTGGCTAGAGAATAAGAACAAAGATAAAAAAAAGTCTGTTTATACCAGTACAAGCACGTTTAAATTGAAGTATACAGAAGGCCAGCTGTGAAAGTCACTTAGAGTGGCAACAGCTTTCCTTATGCCTTCTTTCATAAGCCCAGAGCTCTGAGATGCCCAACTTGAAAGTGGATTTCAGAAAGCAGCTCCAGGAGGAAACAGGAGCCACAGTAAGGAAAGTTATGTTCTTAAAAAATCAGAAATGACAATCTTAGTAGTGCGTAGATATATTGAAAATACTCGGGAGAATAAATCCTAAGGTAAGCATGAAAAGAAGAACCAAGGAGAGAACGTAAAGTAAGAAATACGGTGGCGAAAAAAACTGAGATGGATGTCCAGTTAAGAACTTGAGCAGAGGGGCCAGACTTCCGTGTTGGCTCCACATGTGGCAGTGTTATGGAAACAGCGGGAAGAAGTGTGCAGGTGCCATAGGCCATGAGGAAAGGATGGCTCAGTTGGTAAAGTGTTGGCCACAGAAGCCTGAGGGCGGTCACTTAGAGCCCCAGCATCCTGTCAAACCTTAGCAGTACAGCGTGCTCTTAGAAACCTTGCAGGGCAGCTGGAGAGAGGAGTATCCGTGGGGCTTGCTGGTCAGCTAGGTTAGTCAGTTCTGTGAACAGCTCCAGTGAGAGACTGAGAAACATATCTGAGGTTCGTCATTAGCTTCTACATGAATGTACACACATGCTTGCACTACTGCAGGTATATACACACTAGATACACATGAGAGGCACTGAAGTTTTGGAGACTTAGAGCAGTGGTTCTCAACCCGTGAGTCAGGACCCTTTTGGGTGTTGCTTATCAGATATCCTGTATATCATATGTTTACAGTATGATTCAGAATAGTATCAAAATTAGTTACGAAGTAGCAACGAAGCAGTTTTGTGGTTAGGGGTCAGCACACGATGAGGAACTGTATTAAAGGGTTGCAGCATAGGAAGGTGGAGAACCTTACTGAGCTAGAGTCAAACAGTAAGCTTAGAAAGAGAAGAGCTTGATTTAGTACAAAGTAGAACAGGATTTCACCTTTAAAGGCTCGCTGACTTATATGGTATATGGAAAGTCAGTAGGATGAGGGCTTATTTATTTATTGCTTGCTGCTGTTGCCAACTTTCTAGAACAAACTCTATTTGTGAGCTGGTGAATGTAATTGGTAGTTCTGAGGAAAGAATTACCAGGAGATGAGCCTTACCCTTTGGCTTTTTTGTTGTTCTCTAGTTAGACAGGTTTTAGTTAACTGCAAATGAACAGTAAAGGCTGTTGTTGTGAGGTTTAGGAGACCCCACTGCTTCAACTCTGAGTAGTACAGTGGGCAGTGGCAACATTCTTAATAATGACTAAAAGCTCTCAGGAAGAGCTGCAGTGGCCGCTGGCATCACTAGACTTTACCTTGTCTTACGTTGTCGTTGTTAGAAGACCGTGAACTTGTGAGCACAGAGCACTGGAATCTGTTTTATCCTCTGATGCCATTCTTTCATCTGTCACTTCAAATTCTTCATTTCATGGTGTCTTTTTTGTTTGTTTTTGTTCTTCATCTTCCTCCTGTTTGTGTCTTTTGTTTCTCTTCATTTTGTTTGAAATGACTAGTATATGCTGACTATGACCCATATGCTGTGGCAGGCGTTTGTAATGATCATGGCAAGACATACGCGCTATACGCCATCACTGTACACCGGCGCAACCTAAACACCGAGGAGATGTGGAAAACCTACCGGCGTTACAGCGACTTCCATGACTTCCACATGAGAATCACTGAACAGGTAATGAGGTTTGTAAAGCCTGCAGCCTTTATACTGTTTGTTGGTTCAGCTTTGTGTCTACATTCCTCTAAGAATGTTCACATTGTATAAAGTTAATGAGAGAAAATAAGGTACTGATATTTTATATAATTGGTATAATTAGTGGCATGGTTTTAAGCAGTGAACCACTAAATCAGATGTAGACACTTGAACCAGACTCACTCATTGCGGAGTAACAACAAAGCACCATGGTCTTGAAACTGGAAGAGTTTGGACATGGATGGATGCAAAGGGGGATCTCTGCAGACGTGGTGGTTTGCAGAGGGGAAGAAGACTGCTAGGACCATCTGAACACCGTGGTGGGTTTCAGAGGCATAACTTAAAGCTACAGTTACTTTGAATGGTACTTGCACCCAACAATGTTGCTGAAACCTGGGCACTTTGCTTAAGTTACTTTGAACCACAGCCTAAAATGAACCTGACATTAACCAAATACTGTTTTAAGTTCTTACTAAATTTAATCTTGTTTTGTGGAAGTAACTATAAAGACTTAATGTTGAATGAAAAGAAACTGTTTCTCTTGATTATTTTTGAAAAGCTATTTTTTCTTCTTAGAACAATACCAGATGAGAGATGGAATAGGTAATGTGTGGAGCTATTTTCCCCGTTGAAAGTCTTTGATTGATCTAAATATTAGTTATATAAGTAGTATCAAGTCAATAAAATTAAGATAATGCCTAATTGAATTTTAGATAACATTGTACTGTAGAAATAAGACTTAATATATTTTAAAAAATATGGTTGGTACCATGATAGTCACATTACAATATTTAGTAGATAGAGTAGGATAAACTAAGAGCTTTGACATTATTAAAAACAAGAGGTTGTTGATCAAGTTCTCTATTGGTAATAGGACTGTTTTTAATGCAATAAGTAATTATCTTTGTGCATATTTTTCTGTGTTAATAGATCTTTTATGAAGGACTCTCCAACTCCCGTTGGAGAAAAGCTGTTTACTTCTTATGTATCAGATCATTGTCTAGAAGCAGGCAGCTCACATAGCTCTTCCTGCACTTGAACGACTTAGAAGTGCATAAAAACTTAGTGACCGAAAGCAGTTTCCCTTAGTGTGCATTGGTGGGAGTTTGGTTTATAGGACATCTTTTCTGTGGACAGATAGTTGTAATTTTTCTCTTAGCACAAGTAAGTAAGTAGTGCTTAAAAGTGAAATGATTTTAAAATTGGTTTCATTTTGTTTAATTTAATGAGTAATATTTTTTCTCAATATAAGTAAATGAACTATCATTTTCTTTAAAGACCTTAATTAATAGTCTTTATGAACAGGTCGACAAAAATTAAAAATTTAATGTTATATGCATTTTAAAATGACTAGAACTGTCCATTCATTTATTTTTGAAAGGTTTATTAAGTTTGTCTTATATGCCCGACTCTTCCCAATTCCAGGGAAGCCGACAGGCAGCGTCGTTGCTCTAGGAGTATACAGTGCTGTAGACAGCGTCATGTCTGCATGGGTGCACAAACACTGGTGCCAGTGATGTTATTAAAGATTGTTTTACAACTGAATAAGGGAGTTATATGTTTGAAAATTAACACATTTTGACTTTTTAAAATATAACTTCAAACCTGCTTCAGCAAATTTTTAGTGGTGTATTAAGAATCTAGACCCAATGTGTTTAATGTTAAAAGATAAAATCTTTGAGCTTAGAGTGCCTATGATTTATATTTAGTATAGCAGTTCTTTATAGAGGACATTCTAATTTAATATGTGTCAATTTTTACTTGTTTGGACATTTTTCTATTTTTCAAAATAATACTGTATGTGTTTATAGCTTATATAAAATTTATTGCCTTTTCTCATGACAGTAATATAGAATGCTGATGTCCAGGCAGATGACTTAGAAAGGACTGTGTCCTTAAAACATAGACTTTCTGTTTTGTGATGTTAAGTACTGCTATTGTTTGTTAGCATTTTTTCTCTGTGTCAGTTTGTCAGAATCTTCCAGCTTGAGATGTAAATGATTCTGAACCTCATTCTCTCTCCCTTTCTCTCATCTGCAGTAGGAATCAGTTTTCTTTATTGAAATAATGTAGTTTTTAAAAAGGATGGTTTTAAAAACTTTGCTTACTTCAGTGTATTTAATATGGAAAGAGTGAAGGGACTGCCTGAAGCTTCAGGTCCTGGCAGTTGGCCGGGCCATTCCTAGTTCAGTCCTGCTCTTAGACCATGTTAACAAGCACTGTTAACAAGCTTGTGCTTGAAAAGGTGCAGCAAATTGCTGTCGTGGACCACGAAGATGCACCCAAACGTTAAGTCTGCAGCAGCTAGGCTGCCGGATTGTTTTTTCATAGTGTAATCCATGGTGAGGAAAAATTAGTAAAGCTTATTATAGTTGTATACAGAGCTGTAATGTAGTTGCTGCCTATACTTCATAATTTGTCTTTTCTGCTTTTTAAAGAAATATATTACAGTGATTATTTTATTGTCATTAATATTAGATTAGTTTTTATGAAATTAACAAGCCATAATGTCATAACTTTGGTTTTAAATTTTAAATCTTTAATACTCTGCTCATGAGTCAAATAGTTGCTAAGAAAAGTACTAGCTTTACTGTGAAATTGTGAATAATCTGAAAATTAGAATGCCAAACTGAGACTTCATATGGCATATGCCCATTTTTATTTTTACCTGCCTTTGTTATTCTTTGTTTGATATTCTTTATTATTAAAAAAAGGTTACTATCTTTTTGGTTTTGGGGACAAGATTTTTGTGATGTTTTGTTTAATGTAAGAAAGTATAACCTCAGATTATCTGAAGATACATTTGACATGTAGAGAAATTGTTATGTGGAAATCATTTCTCTTAGAAATAGAACTTTCGAATGTATTTTGTCTTGTAGTTTGAAAATCTGTCGAGCATATTGAAACTCCCTGGTAAAAAGACTTTTAACAACATGGACAGAGACTTTTTAGAAAAGAGGAAAAAAGATTTAAATGCCTATTTGCAGGTAAGGCCATTTTCCTATTTCCCATAGATTTCATTCACTATGATACAAACGTGGAGTGGATTTCCTCATTGAGGTAGTTTGGTATAGCATGTGCTTGGCCTGCTGTGACCCGGGGCTCTGTCTCCAGCCTACTCAGCAGTAAAAGGACACACAGCTGAGCATTGTGGCTGGAATAGTGGACTGATAATCGATTTTGAGGAGTGTATCAGATTGACATGTAGTCTTTTAAATAGTTTACTGTTTCTATATTTAGTGGTAAACGTTTTCTTTTAAGCACCAAGACTTGTTTGTTTATGTTTAGATGAGTCTTTGTAGCATGTTTTTCAGATTATTGTATGTAGATACATCTATGCCAAACCAACAGTTAAATGCTCCCAGTTCAATACATAGTAACTTTGCACATGACCACAAAAACCAGTACAATTTTTTGTTCTCCAAGTAGTTCAAGAGAGAAGTTGACCTGAATATGCTTCTTGGATCCATCATCTTGGTCGTAAAATTTCCTCATAGGAAACAGCAAAACATATTTTTACATGTTACACATTGCACGGGCTGGTAGGATGCCCAGAGATGCATTTTACTCCTGAATACACGGAGCCCAGGTGGAGTTTATCCTAGTTCGTGTCTCAGAAGGACGTCCCCAGTGCACAGGGTCCCATTGCTCAGCTCATCCTCCTCTGCAGCCAGCAGATAAGCTCCTGTCTGGGGTTTTCTTTCTTTTCTTTTCCTTCCTTTCTCTCCGTCTTTCCCTCTCTTCTTCCTTCTTTTCTTCCTCCTTCTTCCTTCCATCTTCTTCATAAGCAGGAGACCTGAATAGTTACGGTAGGGACTCATTGGTCACAACCTACGTAATTATTATATGGCTCTTTTAGAAAAAAAAAAAATCTTTTAGAAAAAGATTTAGGAAACTCCCCTTAGAATCGAGTGAAATTTAAAAGATAATATACTGAATATTTTGTTTAGCAGCGTTTCCTTTCATGTCTTCTCTTAAATATTCACCCCTGTGACTAGCTTTGCTATGACTGTAATTGTTTTTACCTGTTGTCTGTACTGAAAGGACAGGAAGAGAACTTGAAACTGAACGCATGAATCCTGCGTTTCTAAAACTTCTTAAACATTTTGCCTGAAAAATACTCAGTTTTGGTTCTAGTTTTGTTTGTACCGTTGATGGCTTTTCCCAAATGAAGTACTAAAAGTCTATTTTTAATGGTGGCTCTACTGTATACTTTTAACTGATGTATCACGCCTTGTGGTATAGAACGAACTAAGCTAGACTATATTAAGTTCATTAGCATTTGTGGAAGCAGTATTTTGTTTTGTACTTTTTAAATAACACCTGAAGGTTTTTATTTATGTATATCATAAAATTTTGATTTTATTAATGTTAAACTTTAGCATAATTATATAAAACAGTTTTCTACTGTGTTTGAATTGTAGAGTCAGAAAATAAAGTATTTTATATTCTTAAATTATAAGCTATCTTACATTGTAGGATGGAATTATAAACCATCCTGAACTACCTTCTTTTCCCTGTTAGCTACTCCTGACTCCTGAGATGATGAAAGCATCCCCAGCCTTGGCGCACTGTGTGTTTGATTTCCTTGAGAACAAAGCCTACAGTAAAGGGAAAGGAGATTTTGCTCGCAAGGTAAGCATGGTGTTAAATTTCCTTTTAAGATATTCTTTCATGGCTCCTTTTTAATAAAAGAAAAATACAGATTTGCAAGTTTTAAAATGATATGCTGAGTGCATCTAGGCATGTTGGCTTCAGTCTGTGCACTGTTGCCTGGGATACCTGTTAATCCTAAAGATGAAGGAGAAAGACCACCAATCCAAATCATCATAACCACATTAATCAAGCAGTTAATAAAGACAAGTTTGTGTGTATGTGTGTATGGGCGCTCTCTCTCTCACTCTCTCTCTAAAAGTGGGGTTCAGGATATCAGCATTGGATGGGAGGAAAACGAGGTTTTTATTGCTCAGGGCTAGAATCTTTCCAAGTGGGAGATTTGGTGGGCAAAATTGGGGGCGGGTGGAGGGGAGGTACACAGGGAGAGCATTAACTTGAAATGAAGACCTGACTACCAGATGGTCATAAGATGGTGATAACAATCCTTGGAAACAGAGATGTGGTTGCTGTTTCTCAGAACAGGTGTTTTCAATGTGATACTTGGTAGATATTCTCCTAAGGTCCTGTTTTTAGGATTCTGCATGTCAAACTGGACATGGTGGCACAGACCTTAAATACCCAGGACTCAGGAGGCAGAAGCAAGCAGATCACTGAGTTCAGGTCATCGTGGTCTACAGAAAGAGTTCCAGGACAGCCAGTGCTACACAGTGAAACCCTGTCTTGGAGAAACAAAAGAGAAAAGGAATTCTGCCTGTGTGTTCTTATTAAGATGGAATACTCCATAAAGCGCCCAAATCAGCCTCACTGGTGGCTTGTCCTACTTTTCTGTGGCTGTGGTGTGTTGAAATTAGGAGCGGCAGGGCTGCGTCCCCGGCACCCGGCCACCCGCATGGCTAGTTTATACCCAGAAATAATTACACGGAAACTGTATTCTTTCAAACACTGCCTGGCCTGGCTAGGTCCAGTTTCTTATTGGCTAGCTCTTACATATTGTTCTAACCCATTTCTAATATTCTGTGTAGCCCATGAGCTGGCTTACCAGAGAGGATCTTAACCTGCGTCTGTCTGGAGTGGGAGCATCATGGCGACTCACTCACTCAGCTTCTTTTTCCCAGCATTCTCCTCTGTCTACTCCGCCTACCTAATTTTCTGTCCTATGAGGGCCGAGGCAGTTTCTTTATTATTAACCAATGAAATCAACAGATAAGATACAAGACCCACCTCCATCAGTGGTGAAAGACCAGGACGACTCTCTGGAGCATATGGTGTCAGAGCAGAGGCATGGCATCAGGGACAGCTGGCTGCTTGTATCTGGATCTGCAAATAGAAGACAGAACACCGCAGATAGCTTGACTCTGTAGACCTCGGCACCCTACCCCAATGAAACACTTCCTTCCAAGTCCATGTTTCTAATCCTTGTCAAACAGTTCACCACCTGTGGAGCAGTATTCAAATGTATGTCTCGCTCTCACTCAGACCCTCACACTCCACTCTCTGGCCCCCATAGGCTCGTGGCCATACACAGTGCAGAATGCATTCAGTCTTCATATCTCTCACAGTTTCAACTCCATGTCCAAAGTCTCTTCTGAGTCTCAAGGCATTCTTTTAACTGTAAACCCCTGTAAGAGTTAAAAGCCAACATCAAACTTCCATCATGTGATATCACAGAATACACCTTACTATTCCAGGAGGGTCGGAGGGGATGTTGGATCCAAGCTGTAGCTGGAGGTTTCTCACCACCCGCCAGTTCCCGAATAACTGCTCTGAGGCTTAATATTAATTACAAACTGGCCTGTTAGCTCAGGCTTCTTATTAACTAGCTTTTACAACTTAAATTAACCCATTTATATTAGTCTGTATTTTACCATGAGGCTCAGGGCTTGTTACCTCACATCTTGCTTCTTTGGTGGCTGCTGGTGTCTTCCTGATTCTGCCTCCTTTCTCCCTGTATTCAGTTGAGTTTCCCACCTAGCTCTATTCTGCCCTGCCGTAGGCCAAAATAGCTTCTTTATTAACCAATGATAATAAAACATATTCACAGCATACAAAGAGTGTGCCACATCCCAAAGCAAGACCGAAATCCAGGAGGGAAACTATGAGTAACTCTAGTTCCATGTCTGACATCGAAAGGCCCAGGTGGCTGCCCCCTTCTGACTTTGCCCACTGCAGTGGGCGTCTGTCTTGACTCATCTCACTCTCTGTATCTCTGTAGCCCTTTGGCAGATATCTTATGCTATGGCTCATATTTCACTATTGCTTTGGATTATGGTGGAAGTTTGCAATAGTTAATTCTATTTGTATCAATATTTGGGAAGGTATTCAGAATTTCAATAATTAAACAATGAAGGCTTATATTTCTTTCCTAACAGTATCCTCAGTGAGGTTTTCAAATCACATATGTGAATTATGAAGATACATTCTAAAGTACATTAAGTCAACAGGTGTGTGTGTGTGCGTGCCTGTATGTGTGTAATGTTTAATGCAATGGCATACTATTGACAAGAAAATTATTTTGTCTTTCCATGGTATATTTCTATATTTTCTTAGGCTCCTGAGTTGTGTAACTGATCGGAATATAATTTCTTTTTTGCTTTAGATGGACACTTTTGTAAATCCGCTTCGCAACTCTATGAGGAATGTTTCAAATGCAGTCAAATCCCTTCCTGATAGCTTGGCAGAAGGAGTGACAAAAATGTCCGACAACGTAGGCAGAATGTCTGAGAGGTTAGGGCAGGACATAAAGCAGTCCTTCTTTAAGGTAAGCAGCTTCCCCAAACTGCCAGACATACGTCCGTAGGAGAGAAAAGCTAAAGGGACACTAAGAATTCTCTCATCAGTCTGTCGTAAAATTTTAAAAATTCATTTACAGTAAATTTAGCAAAGTTAATATTTTGTATCAACTTACTATACTGGACTGTATTGGTTCTCTAATGGTGTGGATTTCTTTTCAAATAAATAAGTTGTATTTGCGGATGAGTTACACTTAATATTCACTCAGATATAGAGTTAATTTATCCTGATTCAAGCAGTGGAGGCTCATCAGGTCAGTCAGGAGAGGTCCTCCCTGGCCAGTGTGGTGTGTACACCCCGGGCCATACATTCCGAGACCTTTATTGCATTTCTCACTTACACTCGTAAAATCATTTTGCTGTAGTTGTTTGTTAAGTATGTTATCAGAGCTGTAAAAGACAACCCATAAACCTAACACTTGAATTACAAACTAATTCCATGTGAATCTGAATGACACAGACACATAATTGTTTCTTACTGGTAGAGGCATTTCCTTTTCCATTAAACATTGTACTTCCAGTGGGCTTTGTCCTCATGGTTGTGGACAGCTGAACCGTGGGCGTGAGTGGCAGTGCGGCTGCTGGGACAGAGCACCAGCAGATTCCCAGGCTGTAAATACATGGTCCTTCCTGCTCATCAGATCACTGGCTAATTGCTTAAACCTGATAATCCGCTTCCCAGGGTCTTCAAGAAAGAGCAGACTGGAGCTCTGTTCCTGGCCATCCCCAGTGCAAAGTCGAGAATATTCAGCTTTGTTGATATTTGACCAAAAGTCAAATCCAGTGCTTGCCTTTGCTTTGAGTTACGATGCTGTTGGGTTACTTCACTGGGTACTGTGTTAACTTTTTATCATTTTAAATGTATAGGTGCCTCCTTTAATTACGAAGACTGATGCAGATCCTGAGCATTGTCGAGTCTCAGCTCAGCTCGATGATAATGTGAGTTCATCTTTACTCTGTGGTTCTGTGTTAGCATAGGGTGGCAGAGCTTCTAAAATAAATGTGTGTGTATCATTCATTCAGATTCCCATGTTGGGTCAAACATGGTGAATCCTTAGGGACTGAACATGTTTCTGATACCAGCACTCTTCATTTAAAAACAAATAAATCCCAGAAATGACCAGGGCCCTAGAAACCACTGTCCTCCCGTGCTAGGATAGCCTTGGAGGTTTTCATACTTTATACTTGTGAGTAGACGACAGAGGGGGTGCTCCGTGGCTGGCGTCGCTGCTCAGCTCTGTTAGGTCTTCTGTGCTGTGTCCTTCAGTTGTTCTTTCTCAGAGTTTGTGTCTTTGTAGGATGTGTGCGTAATCTTATAAGTTTGTATATGGGACTATGCATAGAACTCTGTGGACATTTTAGTTCATATCTTAAAATTGAAAAAGATAAATACACATTCTTCTACTTAGAAATTCAATTTCTGAGTACGAAAATGAATATAAATTATATAAATTAAAATTTAATATGTGCTACTAAATACTTTTCCAAAACTAATTGTACCACTACCATTCTCACCAGCAGTGCGTGAGAGTTTTAATACTCTGCATTCTGCAGAGAGCCAGCATTTGTATCTGTCGTTCAACCTTCCCATGGTCGTACTGACGTAGACGCGTGTATGTTGTCACCCATTCAGTGGCCTGTTTGTGGGTGTCGGAATCTTTCACTCATTTTCCTTTTGGCACAGTTATCTTTGTTTTTGTGTGTTTCATTAGTATGGATGCAATCTGAGTATGAGTTCTTTGCTGTGTGCGTGCGTGCGTGTGTGCGTGTGTGTGCGCGCTCGTGTGTGCATGTGCACATGTGAGCCCTCTATGTAAATTTACCAACATTAGGGTCACAGTGATGCTATCCTGTGGTTTTCTTTTACAAACCCTCTTGCTTTACCATGGCAACATTTAAATTTGCACTTCATCTCTGATTATTGTATGTGTGGATTGGATAAGCATTCAGCTGGCCTACGTACCATTTACTGGAATCTCATCTACCCATTGTTTTGTTTATGTGTGTTGAAATATGGAGCGGCGGGGCTGCGTCCCCAACACCCCGGCCGCTTGGCTAGCTCATGCCCGAAATAACAACACACAAACTGTATTCATTTAAGAACTGCTTGGCCCATGAACTCTAACCCTTACAGGCTAATTCTCGCACCTGGACTAGCCCATTTCTAATGATGTGTGTAAGCACCCCAAGGTGCGCTTACCGGGAAGATTCTAGCCTACGTCCATCATGGGTTGCAGCTGCCTGGGAGAGCAGAGCATGGCGGCTGTCCGGTCCCTCTGGAAGCAGCGTAGAGTCTGACCTCACTTCCTCTTCCACCCAGCATCCTATTCTGTTTTTCCTCCCACCAATGCTTTAACCTATCAGGGCCAAGCAGTTTCTTTATTGCTCAGCCAATGAAATCAACAGATTGATATGACACTCCCACATCATATGTGTGATTCAGTTTTTGTGTTTTTTGATTTGTTTATGAGCTCCGGTCTTTTAGGCAGATTTATCTTAAAGTTACAGTTTCACTTTTCATTTTCCAGATAGATTAGTTTATAATAAACTGTCTTTATTATTATTTTTGCTTCAAGATTCTTTTGGAATACTTCATGAGTTTAATGTGTATTATCTGTAACATCTTTTACTATGTGGGTGGATTTTATAGTTTAATGTCTTTTCAGATTTATGTTGTTATTTCTTCAGATAATTTAGCAGTATTTATTGTACCACGGTAATGAAGTGTGTCGTTCTTCCCTCTGCTATTTAAGTTATAATCTGTCCATTTGTGGCATAGGAACTACACTAATCAGTGCTTGTAACACAGTAGTGAAAATGTAAAATCCTTGCCTTTTCTCATTATTTAAGGTACATAATTGATCAGGAAAGTGGTATCAAACTGTTGGAAATTTTAAGATGGCCAGCAGTTACATAAGTTCTTAGTCAGTAACTGCTTTCTACTGGCAAGCATATTCCCATGTGAAAGCATTCCATCTGGATTTTATTATTATTTTGCACTGTTGACTGGAGACTTTTGTGATTAAAGTATTTTAATTTATTTTTTCTTTTTTAATTGATTAAAAACTTTCCAGATAGCATATTCTGATCCTGCATTTTCCTCCTCCATCTTGTCCCAGCCACAATCCACCCACCCAGTTCTACCACCTGTGTTCCCTTTCTGTAGAAGACAAGCAGGCACTCCTTTTGGTGGTGCACACCAGTAGGATTTACTGAAGGAGATGGAGGCAGGAAGATCACGAGTTCAAGGCCAGCCTGGGCTACACATTTAAAAAAAAAAAAAACCCAAGCAAACAAACAAAAACACCCAGAATTTTTAAGAAGAAAAAACACAAGAAGTTCACACATGCACAAAACCATAAAAACATAAAATTGGAAACCATGATGTACAAGAAAAAGACCAGTAAGATAAAAACTGCCTAAAGAGAGCAATGTGAGACTAAAAGTCTTCTAAAAATTATATTAACTTGTAGGTGTACTAATTATATTCTTTTAGGTTTGCTAATTTCATTTACTAATTAATTATTCCAATTATATAAAGTATTAATAGTATAGTATTAATTATGCCAGTTAAGGCATAAAATTTCCAAAAAATTATGTTTTATAATGATAGTTTAATTATTTACTAGATTGTACTTTAACTTTTTTCCTGAAAATAGTTTTATATATACATATATATATATATGTTTGTAAAAACTGTATATAAAGGATTAATTAAGCAAAACATATTCTTTTTCTGTTTCAGCTGTTAAATATAGATAAGAATACTTTTCTTCCTTTTTTTTTTTTGTTTTGTTTTAGGAGCAGGTTTTCTCTGTGTAGCCCTGGTTATCTTTGGAACTTGCTCTGTAGACCAGGCTGGCCTCAAAGTTAGAGATCCGCCTGCCTCTGCCTCCCAAGTGCTGGGATTAAAGGTGTGCGCTACCATTGCCCAGCCAAAATTTTTTTATTTTATGAAAAAATGTTTTCAGAAAATTATTATCAATTTTAATATTATGTTGCCAGACTGCTGAAAGCTAGAACTAATTTATATTTCTATAAGATTATCATCATGAATCTTAGAAATTACTTAACATTGCAGGGTTATAAAATTCTAGTGTGTAGAACGGTCATGTGTAGGCACATTTTCCCTGTGAGATGTTGTGTCGGCTTTTCCTCTGGCATCTCCAGTGGTGATGTTTGCTCAGTACAACAGACATTTACAGTTGTTGTGAGTTTTCTTCTCTTTTTTTTTTTTTTTTTTTTCCAGGTAGATGACAATATTCCACTTCGGGTAATGCTTCTTCTAATGGATGAAGTGTTTGATTTAAAAGAGAGAAACCAGTGGTTGCGAAGGAATATCAAAAACTTACTGCAGCAGCTGATTAGAGCTACGTATGGGGACACCATTAACAGGTAGCCACTCCCTGCTTTCTTATGGAGAGCCCGGTGACTAGCCTTAAACTTCACCTCCATAAGGGAATGGCTCAGTCGTGATCAGGGACTCTTTCCTCAGAACTTTTTAAGATCATTATCTCCTCTTCTCAGAAACAGCTTATCCCCACTCAGAGTGTTGCTCTGAGACTTGTGGTAGTTTTACTTGCCTGCTAAGACTTTAAGATTGCTCATTCAAATTTCTTTACTTCCAGAAAAATAGTTGACCATGTTGACTGGATGACCTCACCTGAACAGGTAGCTGACTCGGTGAAGCGATTCAGGTATGTCTTAGGACACTTCTTTCATATAGTCAGAGTGTAATTGCTATACGTATTGTCTTTTAACTTAATGCCCTCCTTTCTTTCCTGGTCTTAACACTGGTTTTGATGAGCAAAGACATATGAGATTATAAACATATTTGAGACTGGTGAGATGCTTAGAACAGATGTCCTCTGTGTCTGCACTGTGGCCCATGTCCCACCCCACCCTGCACATACACATATGCATATGCACACGTGATAACTGACAAACATTTGTCCTGTGGAGCTATGGACTATTCTAAACTTTGCAAAGGTGCAAAGAAAACATTTTTCAAATGATTAAAGTGATAGCTGAGATTTTTATCCCATAGATAGCTTTAAGATTGTTGAAATAGTATTAGAAACCCGGGTCTGGTGGGATTTGGAGGAGGGGCAAGGGGATCCGAGGTTAACGATCAGCCTTGACTATGTTGTGAATTCAGGTGCCAGCCTTGGCATTTGAAAACCCTGTTTCAAAAGTGTAACATTTTTTATCATAGAAATCACTCAGTGAAGATTTTGGAAAATTGTATCTGATACTGGTTTAATCTTTAAATGAGGACAGTACAAATTAAACAACATTGAGACAGTAATTTTTATGCTTATACTTCAGAATTCGTTGACCATTCTGCCTGTCAGTACTGAGAAGGGAGAGATAAGATGCAGTTTCTTCAGAGTAAGGCAGAAAGCAAATAAAGAAGTGAGCCCCTCTGTAACTGTGAAGACAGGCATGCATAGGAGCTCCTGTTCATTTTAGTTAGGGCAGGGGAATTTTCAGATTTTACTTAACTGGGGAAGTTTAGCTATGGGTGGACCCTTTCTCCAGAGATGAATGGATTGTCTTAGCATGTAGAACATTCATACAGCAAAGATGGTTTTATCTCCTTATAGCCAAGATGTTTCTAGTTTCTCTGAAGGCATGTCCAGTGGTGATGGTGGGGCTTAGTGTATTTGTACATGGCAGTATTGAGAGGACGCCTCAGGGTCAAAAGGTAGACTCTGACTGTCTAGGGAGTCTCGTTCCTCCAGACCTTTTCAGTTCAGGTCCCCTTGGAACTAACATCAAGAAGCGGGATTGAAATCCACTAGAAGATGGAGAACAAGTTGTTTGTGGCATACACTGTAGACATCAACTTGAGATTCCCGCTGTCTGAGTTAGATGGGGATTGGGATGGCATAGCCGAGACAGACTGGCTGTTAAGCTGTAGCCGAGACAGACTGGCTGTTAAAGCTGTAGCCGAGACAGACTGGCTGTTAAAGCTGTAACCGAGACAGACTGGCTGTTAAAGCTGTAACCGAGACAGACTGGCTGTTAAAGCTGTAGCCGAGACAGACTGGCTGTTAAGCTGCTGGACTTTCCAAGTTCAGGGTGCTGTGGGTGCATTTGTATAAGATGCTTGCTTAGCAGGTGCTTGCTTTGTCATGTGCTGATCCACACTTTCCATTTTATTAGTGTTTGCAAAGTACTAGGGGCCCAGAATTTTTCTGCTACTTTGTGTGTATATTCTTTTATACTTCAACTGCATTCTGCTCTTGGATTATGCTTGTTATTTGTCTATATAAAATTCTAATGCTGTCTTGCTTTGAATCTTTCATTTCTTAGCAGTTTGTAATGATGTTATCAACTATTGTCATTACAAAATAAAATCTTTACAAATAATATTTAATTTTCTTAAATAGAGATGCATTTTGGCCCAATGGCATTTTAGCAGAAACTGTTCCATGCAGAGATAAAGCAATCCGAATGAGAACAAGAATTGCAGGAAAAACAAAATTGTTTGCAATTATGCCAGGTGAGTGAACACTTTTAATTAAAATTTGATGTATTTGTATTTTTTCCGACATTACTTTTTGATATTGACATCATTTTTGTTATTCTCTTGACTGCCAGACAGTGACTTCCTATCTGCTGGGCACTGCGCTTGGCATTGTGTGTCCATCCTAACCAGTCCTCCGAGCCATCCTCTGAAACAGCCCTGCCCACCCAGAGCTGTAGTTGGCAGCAGGACTCTGACCGCTGCTATGTAAAGAGAACTTGACGGGTGGATGGACTGTCGGTCGCAGTGTAGGGACAGCCTCGTGTTTGTTGTTATTTTAAGGATAGACATGAGTATAGTTGGCAGACTGCTTGCCTGGCATGCACAAAGCAGTGCATATAGTGGGCATCACAGATGTGCTTTTTATCCCTGACCCTTGACCAGCCTGGCTGACATGAGGACCCCCCCTCCCCCCACGAGCGCGAATGATCAGATTCCACGTATGAGGGATAACATGGGGGGTTCTTGCTTATTTAATATTATGCCTTTTAAGTCTGCAAACTGCTAAATTTTTCTGTTCATTTCTAATAGCAAAATAATGGTTTTGTTTTGGGGTCGCTTATGAATAATTCCAGGACGCTCATAGACAGCTCTCAAGGGTTCTGTCTGTGGTAATTTGATGTTGTCCATGTAAGCTCCAGCAAACCTGCCTCATAGTCGTGACAATGTTTCATTATTTTTGCTTTTGTTTTTCGAGGCAGGGTTTCTCTGTGTAACAGCTCTGGCTGTCCTGGAGCTCACTCTGTAGACCAGGCTGGCCTCAAACTCACAGATTCACCTGCCTCTGTCTCCTCCTGCTGGGATTAAAGGTGAAGGGCACCACCTCCTGGCATCTTTTTTATTCTTAACTTTCTCTTGCCAGAACTCTAAACCCCAGTCCCGTTTCTTTACCCTCATTTCTCACCACTTTTTATTTACTTCTTTCTCATTTGTTTTTTTGAAGTTCTGTTTGCCTAGGATAATCCTTAATTTCCTTGTCCCTATCCTTGTCCTGCCCAAGGAACAAAATCAGCTGCAGTCATTGTTGTCCAAAGGATGTTTTCTTTGTTTCACTGTAAGCATCTCCACACTGGGAGCATCTTAACTAAAATTGTACACATCTGTATGTCTATAAGGATATTGATTGTTAGAAATCTTCATTCGTGGGGTTGAGAGAAGAGCATTAGGATTGTGACTCTAATCTGGAACCTGTGAGCTCGGCTCTGACGCTCTTGTGCGTGCTGTCTCTAGTGTGGGAAGGTGGTGCTGGATGCAGGTGCTGTTCACATCTCACTCTGCTCTGGCTCTTTACATTCTGGGTTCATGATCATGATGTAGGCATGTCTTTCCTCTGTCTGAGGAATGAACGTGTGTATTTTCTCTGCTCCCTACAGATGAACTGAAGCACATCATTGGAGCGGAGACCACACGGAAAGGCATTCTTCGTGTCTTTGAAATGTTTCAGCACAACCAGCTAAATAGAAGAATGGTGTATGTCTTCTTAGAAGGCTTTTTAGAAACCCTATTTCCACAGTATAAATTCCGGGAACTTTTCAACAAACTTCATTCAAGGTCAAAGCAGATGCAGAAATATAAACAAAAACTTCAAAGTACTCAAGCGCCTTCTTTACAGAAAAGGTGACACTCCAACCTGTAAACCTGGTGTGCTTTTCTCCAGGACTAATGGTGTGACTCACATACTGTTGCATCTACACCAGTCTTTCTGTGTCTCCAAACAGACCCTAGTCCATCCATAAGACTGGGCCTTCTCATCTCACCTGTAACCCAGCCACTACCAAGAGAGAATCCTGTGTCTTAAATGATTTGGTGCATACTTTGCAACATTGAGAGGATACTGCCCCGTCTCATTCAAGACTGGAGTTCCAAACGCATCAACATTGTCCACCAGTGGTGAAGTGCCAGAGTGTACTTAGGAGCTAGGGAGCGCACAGCAGTGGGTCCTCCATCACGAGCGGTGTGGCTGGGGGAGGAGGGCTGTGTCCCTCGGTGACCTGCCGTCACGTGGGTCAGCAGGTGAGCATCTCTATAACAAGTGTTTCAAGGTCTGGGAAAAGTGACAGGACGCCCTTAGTGTAGGAATAACCCTTCCCCAGAATTACAGTTTGGTTGTGTAAAGTAAAGCGCTATAAAATAGAACCAATCAAAACTAGAATTTGATTGGATTTATTACTCATTGGTATAAATCCCCATTGATTTCTATGTGCTCTAAGGGCTCAGCTCGCTCTTATGGTACTCCACTCTCTCCTTTTCCTTTGGCATTCTGTGCAGAAGAAGCATGTGGTAGCTCTCTTATAAGTTCAAATTTTTTAAAAATCTTTTAACAGATTACTGATTATATAGAAGGGGAATTATTTATTGTAAGAACTGCCAAATACATTCTGTTCTTCAAAAAATTGGAAATTTAAACAGTACTCTATTAAAAGGTACCATATGATAACTTTAATCATATGATCTAGACATGCCTTAGGTAACTACCGACATAGCAAATCAAAGGATTAATGAGCTTATAGTCCTATGTAAACATACAAATGCCTAATTCTACTATATGTACATATATGAAAATAAATAATGAAAACAGAACTGTACTATTTTTTAAAATATGCTTTTATTTATATTTCGCATAATGTAAAATTCTAAATAAAGCTAGTACACAAAACCCTTTGGTGTATACATTTAACTCCCTAATATAATTTTATATATCAGTGAAGCAAAATACCTTTTCCAGTTTTGAAGCCTTTACATTTCCTGGTGTTCCCCATTTGTCCTTTAAGAAGTCTTCATATCCCATGTATGCAGGATTTCTGTACTTTTAAATACTTTCCATGACTAGGGGTTTGGGATATATCAGCTCTTTTTGTTTTACAAATATTTAACACTAAAACCTTAAAATAGTGAAGCTACTTTTCAGACCACGAGCCAGTATCCTGGAGTTAGAACGTTTGGGTGCTTACAGTAAAGGTCAGACAGAGTATTGATGTCCCGGTCATTGGGACAGTATACCCATGTCTTGCTTTCACCCAGGAAAGCCTGCGAATAGAGGGGAGCCTTCCCACAGAGCTCTGTGATGTTCATCAGTGCTGTTGTGCAGATCTCTTATGCACATATTCACAATGTGTTGCATGTCTTTCAGAATTGCATAAGAATCCTTTTCTTGCAACTTTCAAGAAGGAGAAGCCCCTGTTTCTCTGGTGGGAGAACTGTTACTTATACTCACCATACATCCTGCCCTTGCCCTGCCTGCCCCTTCCTCTACCCCAGGCTTAAAGGATGTGTCAGACAGACCTGTAGGGAGCCAGCGTGGCCACCAGTGCAGTGATCTTCATACATGTCCCTGCCCGTTCCAATTATATTTTTACATGAATAAATCTTAGTATATACAGAAGGATTCATGCAAGAGCCTAGTGTGTACATGTGAAATGCGTTTTTATGTAAAATGAGAAAACTGACCGTTAACCAGGGGGAAAAGGTCATATAAGATGCACGTGCTCCTAATAGCCCTGCAAGACAACTGCAACCATACCAAAACAGAACAGTGAACACACAGCCATTCGAGCAAATGTTTTTAAAATAAGTTTTTTGAGAAGAGTTTATATTTCAGGAGCAGAAATGTCAAATGGTCACGTGTCTGCTTGCCTGTGCTTTCCCGTGGAGAGTGTGGCCGTGCTACGGCGGCGGATTACCTATTGAGTGACTTGGTCCAGCTGTGTATTTAACCCAGACGCCAAGTACATTGTGCCACATGTAATAAAGTTGTTATATCTCGGGCATTTATTGCACATATGAGCATACACAAAGAAGCTTTATGTCTTTTCATGTTGAGGTTCTGAATGCTTTCAAGTCAGTAGTGCCTTTAGGCAAGGACCTTCAAAATTAATCATTCTTTTGGATTTTCTGATTTTTTTTTTCAAGTAGTATATAACTACATAGAAACCAACACAGCTCATTCACCTAGAATCTGATTGTATGACATTAAATGTAGCACTCAGATGAGTATTTCTTATAATTAGGGTCTTCTATGTAGTTCCTGGAAACAGTCGTGCCATTGACCAATGGATGCACTTCGTTAGCCTTAATTTAAAACAAACAAAAATTTCTTGAATATTTCAGTTTGATCACTATAAGTTTCTGCTGCAGATTCTTGGGGAAAAATAAATCAAACAGTTAAATGTAACCTAAAAGTGTACCGATTTAAAAAAAAAAATTAAGAACAACCTAAATTTCACAATCCACAGTTTTAATTTTGTGCAATATTTTTATTTGATGCATGTTTATTTGAGTAATTGTAAAATAAGTACATTTTTAATGTTTTGAGATCTATAGTTCTGTCTTCTTAATCCAACAACTCCACTCTGTTGTTGCTGCACCTTAATTGAGGACTTGTTTTATAAGTCTTGTCACTCCTTGTGAAGTTCTTTTATCAGTAGAAAATTTTGCTTATGGGAGCGTGGCTCCTGTATTATAAGGGAAAACTAAAGAGCACATTCTCGGGTTTGTTAGAAAATGTCCTTGTGCGTATCACTGTACATACGTGTCGGTCGTGCCTACCTGCTCTGTCACTGCTCTCCTCTAACAGGGGAATCATCAGAATGTCAGTTATTTTTATCAACTAAAAAGATGAACATTTTTATTTGGTTTGTGTTATATTCTGTCCATTAGAAAATACTAATAAAGTATTAACAAACACTTTCATTGAGTTTAGTTGGTAATATGTGTTATTTTTTAAATGCCTGCTCAATGGTCTTGTTTCTACAATCTCTGTGTTCTTTAATTTCAATTTGAAGTTGAACAGTCACGTTCGAAGAATAAAGATGAGCTACTGAATAGTTAAAATTAGCTGAATTTGATTTTTTCCTTTTATGGCTACACAGTCTTAAAGAAACTTTATATTGTCCTTTCCCCCTAAAATTATATAGCGATTTTCCAAAACACAAAGATTGAGAAATAGTAATTCATTAACAAGTTGTATTTTATGTCATTTGAGATTGAAATTTTGGATGGTATTTTAGACATGTTGTTGCTTTGTTTTGTTTTGTTTCTTCAAGACAGGGTTTCTCTGTGTAGCTCTGGCCGCCCTGGAATTCGCTCTGCAGACCAAACTGGCCTCAAACTCACAGAGATCCGCCTGCCTCTGCATCCTGAGTGCTGGGATTAAAGGCCTGCACCATCACCGCCCAGCATGTTCTATTCTCAAAGACAGTTGATGTGGCATGTAATAATGTGCTTGGTTAAGATGTGTTTAGCATTCTTGGCCTAGATCACAGACTGCTCAGACATCAAATAAGTACCTAATACCTCACTAGGAATTGGCATTATATTTCTTAGAACCATGCTCTAATTATCAGTCCCTTTAGGATGTGCTGTGACCGGGAGTCTAGTGTTGCACAGAATACTAGAGTGGTAACAGTCCAGAACCTTGTTCAGGGCGCCTTGCCGGGCCTACCCGTTTCCTAAGCTTCATTGCTCGGAGAATTCCTTGGTATCCCTAAAATGGGGAAGATGTTTCTAATGATGACTCGGGAATCCAAGAGACATGAAGTGAGGGTTAATTAAAATGCACAACAACCCATCCTCTCCTTGCTCTTCAGCTCAGTAAGGGAGCCTCATGCTTTTCATAGTGTGCTTCCTGCGGAGAATGAGTTCTTTAACCAGCCAACTTCTGATAAAAACACTTCCCCCACCTTTCCCAGAAGGAAGTATTGGAGCGTTTCAGAGTGCAGACTGGAGTTAACTGCCCAGGGTTCTAATTTTGGCTCTACTGATTTCAGTCTACATGGCCTTGGCCTTGTTGGCACAAAAGTGCAGCTCCTATCGCGAATGAAGTAGGAGGTAGTTTCTTCCGGAGCTGAAAATGCCTGGCTGTGGCCTGAAGTACACATTTAGTGTACTCAAAATACCATGTTCTCATGTAAGTTTCGTGAAGATTTTATAAATCAAGACATATTTCAGTTTTATTGGTGGGACTGTCAGGTGGGTTATGCCAAAGACTGCTGCTATAGATTCAGACAGTCCAGTGAATCCTTAGCCTTTGGATTAGTGGAAGCTGATAATGTGTACATTTCATAAACAGTTTTCTAATAATCAGAAGGCTGGCTGTTAGCTCACACTCAGAAGTGGACTATGAATGGCTAGGACAGGAGCTGAGACCCAGCCCAAGATAGTTTGACTTTGACCTATGTAATAGTAGGTGTTTCGACAATTGCAGAGGTTCTCTTATCAGCGAATTTGCCTTGCAGAGTATTAAACACAGATGTGGCTTCTAATTTGGGGAGCATCAGTTCGCAGCCTTGTATCTGCAAAGGGATTGACCTTCATAGTGTCAACAGGACAGTCTTGTGATTATCCAGCATGTTGATATATAGAGGACTCAGAATAACATCTGGCCTCAGATAAATATTATGGGAATGTCAGGGTCATGGCTATGTTCTAAACAATGAAAGTTTTGCTGATTTCATAAACTTCTGCCTTGTTATGGAACTCTTTCTCTGAGCACAATATGACCATTCTCAGATGTCATAGGCTGCGGGGGACAAAGGTTGGACCTACTAACACTGTCTGCATTCCCTGCCCCTCTCTGCAAACACTGAAGGACCTAATGATGGCCTTGAGGAGGAGACTGCCCTTACTTGGTGTAACTGCCCTGGAGTTGCCCACACCACTGGAAGTTCAACTCATTTTGGTTGGCTTTGGTGCAGTAATCTTTGCTCTTATCTTGGTGTCTTATCTGGACTGAGCAGAATGTGTTTACATGACAAAGCCACGCAACAGTCTGCCTTTATAATGTTGAGGCACCACCCACCCTGAGAGAAGTTCAAGTATATTTTGCTTTGTGTGTGTGTGTGTGTGTGTGCATGTGACTTCTCTGTGTCCATGTGTGTGTGCTGTGTGTGTGCATGTACATGTGTGCATGTGCGTGTGTGCACATGTGTGTGTGCGTGCAAGTACGTGTGTGGTGTTATTTCCTTACTGGGCAATGTGGGTCCCAATGGTGAAGCCAAACCCTTATAGCCTTTTCCTTTTCGGTGAACATCCCATGCGAGGCCAGGCTCTGGAGCAGCATCTTAATTGCTTGACTTAATTGGTTGACTGTGGTTAGTTGGCAGCATTTTAAGGAAGCACTGCCCACCGTCCCCTGGGCGGATGACTCTGATTTTAAAGTATGAAGCCCTAGGGAAATCGGCCAGATTCGGGGTCTTTGAAAAGTAAACCATGGGTTTTCTGTAACACCGTCAGCCGGTCCAGAGGAGACACAGGCTGCAGCTTTCAGAGTTTGCGCTGGTGATCCTGCTGAGCTGCAATCCCCTCCGAGCTGCCATCCGCACGGTGCTCCTTTGTGCTTCCCATCCGGATTCTCTGGCGGTCAGGGGGCTGCATTTGTAACCCTCAGCCCTGTGGCTGTTTTCTTGACACAATCATGTTAGCATCTTAAGGCTGCTTCAAGATCCCACAGAAAAGGGAGAGTTTGAAGGTTTGAGACTTCCTGTTGAGCTATAGAACGGCAGCTGGTGGTGTGGGAGAAAATGACATGCATTGTAATTGATCAAACCCCCTTGTCAATTCCTGGGCTGGAAATGTGGAGAAAGCGTCTTACGTTCTCTGAAAACCCTGTGGCTTTTAACACTTAGCATCAACAGGGGAGTGTGTTCACAGGGAATGATGGGTTCTGCCTGGCCAAGGGAGTCTCTGCTGGCTGACTGTTGCCCTCTTCTGGACAGTCCAGAACCAGTGTAAGCAAGGAGAGGGGCCCACTGCTTTCACTAAAGATCCGGTGGTGTCCAGAGACAGCCGGTTAAGAACAGTCTGAAATCAAAGACACGGCCTGTTCGACCAAGGGAGAAGCTGGCAGAGCACAGTGGCATGGAACCCGGGCCACCCAGATAAAGGTGGAAGGCAGAGCTGGAGGAATTCCCGAATGACTGTGTCATTGCTATGCTTGCTCGCTTTCTGCCGACATTTACATGGTCAGATTTTATGGACACTCATCCCACCGCTTGTCACCAGACCTGCAGTACACGGGGCCTTTCTTAACCTGACTAGGCAGTGTTTTCTGAGATAAGGCCCTAAAAGCACAAGAAACTAAGGGGGAAAAAGTAAAGTGGGCTTCATGAGAATGAAAATGCTGTGGCTCAAAGAACACGATTAAGGAAAAAGGGCAGCCCCCAGCGTGCTCTCCATCTTCCTATCTGTTGTAGGAGGCTGCTTGTCCGTTTCCCAGCTGCCCAGACTCCCGAAATAACCACACAGAATCCATATTATCTAAATCACTGCTTGGTCCATTAGCTCTAGCTTCTTATTTTCTAACTCTTACATCTTAATTTAACCCATCTCCATTAATCTGTGCATCACCACGAGGTCGTGCCCTACCAGCAAAGTTTTACCACATCTGTCTCCTGTGGAAGCTCCATGGTGTTGAAATACGGAGCGGCAGGGCTGCGTCCCCGGCACCCGGCCGCCCGCATGGCTAGCTTATGCCCAGAAATAATTACACGGAAACTGTATTCTTTCAAACACTGCCTGGCCCGGATAGTTCCAGTTCCTTATGGCTAGCTCTTACATATTGTTCTAACCCATTTCTAATATTCTGTGTAGCCCACGAGCTGGCTTACCAGGGAGGATCTTA